AAGATCTATATTTCCCAACACAATACTCACAATCGTTCTTGACACAATGCATGGCTTCGTTATGGAAGCAACACTGGTCGTACTGGCGAAACCCGCCATACACCGCCGTAAGATTTCTCTTCACCATCGGCATCGCACTCATGTTCGGCACCATGTTCTGGGACCTTGGAGGCAAATTGTAAGCGAAATCACTCAGAAAATCCCAGATTCTGTATTCTCATGATTTCCTGTTCAAAAGACCAATCTTTTTTTTTTTAACCCGAATCGACGACTTGCAGGACAAAGAGACAAGATCTGTTCAACGCAATGGGTTCCATGTACACAGCAGTTCTCTTCCTCGGCCTACAAAACGCTGCCTCCGTACAGCCCGTCGTCGCCGTCGAACGAACCGTGTTTTACCGAGAACAAGCCGCTGGGATGTACTCCGCCATGCCCTACGCCTTTGCTCAGGTACAAATCTCGCTGACCCACTATGGAAAATTTCTGTATGCGCATCGTTTTCACTGAAAAAAAACACAAATTCGTGAGCTTTTCACTGACCAAAGAAGGAAAATCTCAAAGGGTGCGTGAATTTCGCTGAGAATTCACAAACTGACGATCTTTGGTCCTCGATTTCGTAGGTTTTGATCGAGATGCCATACGTGTTGGTGCAAGCGGTGGTGTATGGACTGATTGTTTATGCGATGATGGGGTTCGAGTGGACGGCGGCGAAATTCTTCTGGTACCTCTTCTTCATGTACGGATCGCTATTGACCTTCACCTTCTACGGAATGATGGCTGTGGCTATGACTCCGAACCATCACATCGCCTCCGTCGTCTCCTCCGCCTTCTACGGCATCTGGAATCTCTTCTCCGGCTTCATCATCCCACGACCTGTAAGCTTTCTTCCCTTAGCAGCCTCTCAACCTATCTAATATAACAATTCGACCCCTTAACTTCTATCATTTTCAATTGAGTCCATTTCTTCTTCTTTGAAACAGAGCATACCGGTGTGGTGGAGATGGTACTACTGGATATGTCCAGTTTCATGGACATTGTACGGACTAGTCGCATCTCAGTTCGGAGATATCACTGAGCCACTGGCCGAGGGACCGACGGTGAAGCAATTCATAAAGGATTATTACGGATTCAGGCATGGATTTCTCGGCGTGGTGGCCGCTGTTAACGTCGCTTTCCCTGTGCTCTTTGCCGTCATATTCGCCGTCGCCATCAAGTTCTTCAATTTCCAAAAGCGTTAAGAGTAGAAGTTGTCATCTTCTTCATTCTTTCAAGATTTTTGTATTATAACAATAAACTGGGAATGTACGACGAATTCTATCGTTTCACAAACAATAAAGGTTACATTTTTTAATTATAAAGCTTCACACTTTTCCTAAATCGGTTGATAGTGCATCATCTCGAATCCATACACCCATGACTCGTTTACGCCACAGAGTCAGCAGCCCGTCTACCGAAAGATGAACAATCGAGAGTTCTTAGCTTCAAGAGCAAGTAAAGAAGTAATCCGCAGCCGAACCCCAAGGCGGCGCTCGAGCCAGTCATCGATACGGCCGCACAAACCAACATGACAAAGGACTCCTCTTTCGAGTTCATGTCCCTTGAGGCCATGGCGAGTTCGATCCCTGCAAACAGCAAAAGGGCGCCCAAAATTCCGATGGGGAACTGACTCAGAATCCTCACAAACGAGTTTCCAAACACTAAACCAACGATCAGTTTCCCTAATCCAAGAATAATTACAGATAATCCACTACGAGCACCAAACCGGTATTGCCCTGCTAATCCTCCAGCGCCATGGCAAACCGGCATTGCTCCGAACCAGCATCCGACTAAGTTCATCATTCCGACACTGACAGAGACTGTCGTCGCGGAAAGTTCCTTGTCGAATAAGTCATTGGATAACTTGCAGACAGCGATCACTGAGTTCAGTAAAGACAGAGGAATCTGAGGAATCGCTCCCCGGAGAAACCCGATTTTCCAATCCTCCAGAGTGATCTTCAGAATCTTGAACTTGGACGGACCGAATTTCAGGTCCCCGAAGATCGAAGGGTCGCGAACGAAACAGAACACCAGCCCAACAACGAACACGATGAGCGCAGAAGGAATCGCCGACAGAGTACGCAGTCTCCTTCTGACGGGAGTAGTCTCGTTGCTCTCTTCACTGTCGGTTTCTGCGCCGTCACCAGATCCTGTGGACAAGATAATGAAGAGCAGAGCGGAGAAGGCGACGATTAGGCCATCGAGGCCGAGCCAGGGCCGAGGAACAGAGGATGGCTTGAGAGTGGCGGTGTCGTAATTAAAGCGAACATATTTGACGGCGGTGAAGGCGAACTGGAGGCCCTGAGAGAGCTGGATGCCGCGAACGACGGGGAGGGGGATGAGGTGGTAGAGGAAGGACATGGCACCGGTGACGCCGAGGAGGAGGAGAACGCCGGCGACGGAGGCTCCGGCGGCGGCGATCTGAGAGGTGGTGAGGTGAGGGGTCTCGGAGACGGCGACGGCGGCGATGGACTTCATGGGCTGAACGGGCATGGGGATGTCGAAGAGGAGGCCGGTGGCGATGTTGTAAAGAGCCGTGAAGATGAGGGTGGTGGAGAGATCGAGGTTGGAGACTAGGGTTAAGGTTAGGACGATGGGGATGAAGGTCCCGAGGTCTCCGACGGCGCCGGATATCTCGGAGGAGATTGGGGTTTTCAGGCGGAGACGGCGGCGGATCCAGGCGCATCGGCGGCTGCCATCCTCGTCGCCGGTGGGTAGGAGAGGAGTAGTTGTTGGATCCATGATTGGATCAAATTCGAGAGTGAAGGATTGATTTTCGCAGAATCTTGTAATATATCTAGAAAAAAAAATCTGGGTTGAAGATAGGGTGTGAGATTGGATCTTCCGGGGAAGTTGGACAGATAAAAAAAAATTTGGCTTTTCAGACACTCGATGCGTTAACCATGTCACGATCTGGCAAGTTGTCTGTTTTTGTTGGGGGGCGCTAATACAAGTGTTCATCAAATGATCTACAAGATCACGTTACACAGATTCGAAATAAAAACTTGCTATATAAAAAATGGGCTGGCTTTTAAGTATTCTTAATTAAATATAACTAAATAGAGTTTACATAGTTATACTTTCCCACGTCTTACTTTTTGGTGGGAAAGCACTGGCGATGTTGTTGTTGTTTGTTTTTTATTTGGTAATAGAACATTTATCTAAATTAAATATAAAATAGAAATAAATATTAATTCTACTATCATATAAATTTTTTAAATATTACCCATTAAATGGTCACTTTACATTGAAAACATCTCACAATTTGGCTTTTACCACTTATACCTAGGGATGTCAATTAAGCCCGGAGCCCGAAACCCGGCCCGAGCCCGCCCGAAAATTATAAGGACATGGGCCTAAAAAATATAGGCTCATTAAACTTCGGGCTTTCGGGCCTCGGGCCAAATGGGCTACGGGCCGGTCGGGCCGGGCCAGTCGGGTCTCAGGCCGGGCTTGAGGCCCGTTAATTTTTTTTTGTTTTTTCTAACATTCTTTTCTAAACCAAAGTATTACCTCTCTATAATTATAAATATGTGTGCATATATATATATATATATATATATATATATATATATGAACCAAATGATGAACTTTTATATCTTGGTTCCAATTAAACTTTGTAAAGTGACGGGAGTTTTGAATTTCTTAACCATATTATATCATATATATATAAGTTTACATTTTAGAAAGGGTAAAAGTTTTCAAATATATATTTTTAAACCTTTGTTTGTATATGAACATATTGATTTTTTTCTATAGGTTTTAAATTAATTACATGATAGAATTTTTTTTTATATTATGTTTGTTATTTTTTTTATCACGTTTCAAAGTTTTTAATCGCATGTTGTGGTGTTGGAGAATTGAACAATTGGATAATTTTTTCAATTTTATTTTTATTTGTGAACTAAATAACTTTGTTGTTATCGGTTTTAAAAATATTTTTGTTGAACGTTTCATATTATTATTATTATTATTATCATCGTAAAAAAAAAAAATTTATTTGAGAAAAAGCCCGAAGCCCGGCCCGAACCCGCCCGAAGCCCTATAGGGCCGGGCTCCGGGCCATCGATCCTAGACCCGAAAAATAAATGGGCGGGTCGGCCCGACCCGAAAAATTCTAGGCCCGAATTGAACCCGGTCCGAACCCGGCCCGACCCGCCCATTTTACACCCCTACTTATACCTTTACAAATCTATTTCAATAACAAAAATTGGGTTAAAAAAATGGTAAACAGTATTTGAAAGTGTATTTAGCAGGTGGCTGAAACGATGAATTTAGGGACATTGATGTTTTTGTTTCAGCCCATAATTTCCAAACAGGCCTACTGGGCCCACCCAAATTAAAATTTGTGGGCCATATGAATTCAATTGTTTCAACCAACAAACTACCTGCCGTTTTTAAGTACGCACTGACGTTCGCTTTTTCAAATTGCACGCTGTTTTAATGTTTGATTTGTTTTTCAAATAGAAACTCAACCGTTGAAACGTAGACAGCATCACAGCAGCATCTTCTCTCTCCAGCAAATTCGAGCAGAAGAAGAAGAAGAAGAAGAAGAAGAAGAGACTAGTGAAGGAGATGGCCGGACATTTGTATTTTCCGGAGAGACATATGGCCGTAGACAAGCGTCTCGGATACCCGATAACCTACAAAAATATGTGTCGAGAAAGGGAGATTGGTCCGTACGGCAATGGCCCTCCCTCTACGTTCCTTCCTCACTCTCCGCAGGAGACTGAGGTATGTTGCTCTTGATTCTCTGACAGTACGAAGGATTCTGGGTTTTGTTAGCCTGTTCTGCCCTGCCCTCTTGGATTGTTGATTCAGGCGAATGTTTTCCATTTTTTCTGCTTTTCTTTTGCGGGGCAGCTTTCCTGCATTTTCTGGGGGAAAACTAGCAGGTCGTATTGGATCTCTATTAGATCTTTCGACAATGTTTTCGATCTTATAGGTTTCAGATTAAGTCTCACTGTTTCTTCCCATTTAAGTGGACTTGTAGCTTCGGCCAGCAGAAAAAATCCTTGCTTTCCTGCGTTTTCCCGGGAACCAAACAGGGTTCTAAGGGAAAAGAAGCTTGTTTCTCCTGTCGGTCGAGATAGATTAATTGTAAAAAGTGAAGGATTCCAAAAGCCGACGCCTTTTTGCCTGCTTTACAATTATTCTTGCACGTTTTGCCTTTGCAGAGCTTGAAGACTTCAGAGCTCGAAGAGATGTTTCCAGTTATAAACCCTAAAGTCAAGCCAACAACTGATCCGAGGATCTTTCTGGATGTCCTATGGAAAGAACTTGACCACTTAGGGTAAGATCAACGAACATCACATTTTTAATCCTGCCCAGATATGTTTGCAAAATGATACAAGAGAGCATTCCCGTTATGAAGACTGGTTGAGTCTCCTTTTGTATGTTTCTACAACAGTGTAGAGTTGCAAGTAAATGTCTGAATCCTTGAGTTCATTTCTTCGGTTTCAGCAACGCTGGGTTTGATCCTGCAGTCATCCGGGTAGATCCGTATGGCAATGTTCTCTATTTCAATGCAGATTCAGCTTCTCCTCTTGCGTGGGACATCGACCACTGGTTTCCACTATCAAGTCAGCAACTTTGAATACCTGAGCAGCAAATTCTCTCTTCACGTTTACCTTTGTCTCCTCACATTTTTTTTGTTGTTTCTCCAGGAGGAGGCTTGACTGTGCCAAGCAACCTAAGGTTACTGCAGCGACAAGTCTACAAGAAAAAGCATAACAAACTCGAATTCCTCATCCCATGGTGGGATCTTCAGCTGGGCATTTCTGTCACCCAATTCTTATCCATCTTTGCTTCTTCAAACTCTGATTTCAGGTTGATCTTTGTTGTTTCTCTCCCAAATCTTGATGTACCAGCTTTTTCTCAGTCTCTCCAAACTATAAACCGAGACAAAACTCTTCTCTTGCTGAGCAGGCGCAGAGGATTTTACTACTTGTTCAAAGGAGGAGAGGAGGAAGTCACCAACACAGTAACCGTGGAATCTTTAGGTAACTCGCAACGTCATCCTCCGGAAACAAGTTTTAAGCCCAGCCTAGCTCCCACAGCCATTGTCCGGTCAGAAAGAGACTCACACGATGACGCTTTGGCTCTAAGGACGTTGAATAGCTATCAGAAAACAAGGCCACCAACTCCTGCAATCGGTGAGTTCAGTATCCTGTTCCAGAACTATGTATATGGCTTAGCCAAATGAGAAGACAGGCCAATTTGAGTTGCCTTCCTCGTTTTTTGTTGTGAATTAGCTTCAAGGAAGATTGAAGTTAAGCCAAGAACAATGAAAGAAAACGAAGCCCCGGATTTTACCACAAACCCGTATCAAGCAATCGTGGCTGCAAGAAATTCTCTGAAACAGCAAGAGGGATCTCAAACACTGAAAGCAGAAATAAAGAAATTGGATGGTCAGTTGAATGAGATGAGGAAACAAAATGATGAAGAACAACTCACTATTGAAGAATTGGAGTTTGAACTGATACAGCGTCGGAGAAATGCAGAAAAGTGCAGGAGAGTAGCTGAGGAACAATGCTCATACAGAAACGCAATTGAGAAAATGATTCGGGATGCTATGCATCAGTAAGACTCGCAAAACCAGAATCCACCCCCTTTTTATTTTGGTTTCTGATAGCATGAAATGCTTATAGTGCATGTCTGATGTTATGCTGCAGAAGTGTTGTTTACAAGGAACAGGTTAGCCTGAACCACGCTGCCACGATGGTGCTTAAGACCAGACTAGATGCTCAGAAAGCAATGTGTGATGAATCCGAGAAGGAACTTCACACGAAATCGAAGAAAAGAGATGAGCTCGAGAAGCAACTGAGATTGGAGTTACAGCAAGCTAGGAAAAGGTCGCGACTTGACGATTCTGTTAGTGAAAAGAAGTTACAGGCAATACCACAGAACCACAACCCACGTGAAGAACTTGATGATGGAACTGGAAACGAAAACAGAGAGACAATGAATGAAGAGATCTTTGGGATCGAAGATGGTCTGAGAGGAAAGGATACTGCTAGGGAAGTGAAAAATATTGAAAGCCGAAAGAGCTTCAGGAGAGTTTCTTCATCTCCATGGTTGATCTCTGGCATGAAAACCAGCAGGAACTGCAATGGGAAAGACCCTGCAAGGATGGGCGATGACAGAGATCACAACCTTCATTCAGGATGACAGTTTCATTATAGATCATCCCTGAAGAAAAACATTCAAGAACATAGAGAAACTCTAATGTTATTTCTGTGTGAGCCATGATGTACCTTTGGTGGTTTACACCCTTAAGTAATAACATCTTGTTCTGTGATATATTGAAGCATCTCCAGCTAATGGTACATACAACAATTTCTATTATACACGAAAAGCTACAAACAAAAGAAGCCAAACCCAGGTTTCCTGCAATAGTCCCCTTGACTATCTATATTTGATTCTAATCTCCACATGAACATTCTCCGTCCTTAAAGAGGTGGAACTGCTCGGAATCCCTTACCGAGATCTCTCTCCGGACAATTTTGGAGATGAACTTTACTGTGTCGTGGCAGCTATGGCACATAGAGAGATTCTTGGTTACCCAAATAGGCATTCCAGGGACAGTGTTAATCAGACCGAAAGCAATGGCATTTCTCTCGCTATGTCCACAGAATATCTCATCTCTTGAAATCTCATTCTCATCCATGGAACTGCATTTCGAGCAATTATAGCCAACTTCTCTCATTCTCTCATAAAACCCTTCTAGAACTGCATTAATCTCTTCTACCTGGAGATGGTACTCATCACCACTAAGAAAGGCGTGAACTCTACCCTTTACCTCCACCCAACTGCACCCGGCATCAATGGTTAGGCCGTTTTCTTTCATCATTCTTCTCACTTTGGCAACTTCTTTCCATTTCCCACAATCAGCATACAGGTTACACAACAGAATGTAATAGCCAACACTTTCTTTGTCAACCTCGAAAATATGTTGGGCTGCAAGCCTGCCAAGATCAATATTGTGGTGAATCCTGCATGCATTAAGCAACGCTCCCCAGACAGCAGGATCTGGTGTGACTGGAATTTTCAGAATGAATTCATAGGCATCTTCTAACTGGCCCGCACGGCCAAGTAAATCAACTACACACGCATAGTGCTTCAAGTTTGGGGTAATCCCATACTCCTCCATTGTGCCAAAATACATTAAACCTTCTTCCACCATCTGAGATTTGCTACATGCACATAACAACGAGATGAACGTAATCTCGTCTGGCCTTACACCGGAATCAATCATTCTGTCAAATAATTCCACAGCCAGTGGTCCTTGTGCTCGCTCTGAATATCCAGTGAGAAGAATATTCCATGATGATGCATCTTTCTTCTGTGAATTGAACTGGTTCCATGCAATGTTCATCCTTCCACACCGTACATACATGTCTAAGAGTGCATTCGGTAGAAAATCATCAAGCATTACACCGTTTCTTAGTACATAGGCATGAATCTCCTTACCGCACATCAGAGCCCCGATTCTAGCACAAGCTGCTAATGCAGATGTCAGTGTTATCGCATTTGGCTCCAAAGTCATCTTCATTTGCCGGAAGAAAATCAAGGCCTCAAAGCACCGGTTATTGAGTCGGAGCCCTGAAATAATTGACGTCCAAGATATCACATTCTTGCGAGGGACGTTATGGAAGATGTCCAAGGCCTTGTCAATGGATTTGCACTTTGAAAACATATTGATGAGATTGTTTGCTACAATCACATATGATATGAGTCTTCCCCTTATTGCAAGCTTATGGAGCTCAATACCCATATCCAGTTTACCAAGAGTAGCACAAGCAGATAGAACAGTGGCAATCGTGATCTCGTCTGGCGTGACACTATCTCGCTCCATCATTCTATATGTGTCTATGGCCTTCTCGGGCAGCGAATTATACTCATAGCCCGAAATCATAGTCGTCCAAGACACAATGTCTTTGCTCTCCATCCTACTAAAAAGATTTTCTGCATCCTGCCATGACGAAGAGTTTAAGTACATTTGCATTAAAGAGTTGCAGACAGATATGTCAACCACAAAACCTGAGCTTATAATGTAACCATGAATCTCCCGTCCTAGCCTCACATCGCCAAGAAGCTCGCAAGCTGAGACAACGCTGGTCATAGTCATCAAATCAGGATCAACAGAAAGCTCACGCATTTTGAAAAATAACTTCAACCCTTCATAACACATCCCGTTCTCGAAATAACCAGAGATCATTGCATTCCATGAGATTATGTCTCTCTTAGGCAGTCTATCAAAAAGCAACCTCGCACTCTTAACATCACCACACTTCACATACATGGTGATCAAAGCGTTAACCACATCGACATTCAGCTCAAAACCATGTCTAACGACATGAACATGGACCTCTCTTCCTCGAGCTAGGTCTGGGATACCCCCACACGTTCTCAATACGCAAGGGAATGTATAGACATCAGGTTTAACACCAACCCATAACATTCTATGATACAAACACATGGCCTCGTCGAAATATCCTTGCTTTGCATACCCACCGACCAACACGTTCCAAGAAAACAAGTCTCTTTCAGACATTTTACCGAAAACATACCACGCATCAGCCAAGTTACCGACTCTCACAAACATGCTGAGAAACGCGTTTCCCAGTCCCACGCCCAGACTGCTCATGGAACTAAGAACGTGCGAATAAACCCTGGAGCCCTCCTCGTGAGCTCTCTTCCACTCGCACAGCCTGACCAACGCGATAAACGCATCTTCGTCAACAGAAATTCGCAACTCCTGCATAGAGTTCAGGAGCTTCATAGCTTCTTCCAGCTTCCCATTCGCGCAGAGCTCATGTAACTGGGAATTCGAGAAGAGGCTGCTTCTAGAACTCGAGCTAAGAACCGAAATTCCCTGAGATTTTCTCCGGAAAAGTTTTCGAATTCCGAGATTCCAGGAGAAGCTGACGCTTCTGGGCTTATCGATATTGGTTTGGAAAGGGCTCACTTTATCTGGGTTTAGATGAAAGTGAGAAGCTTTAGCAGAAGACGCCATTTCTAAGACACGGGGCAAGGAGCATCGTCGTAATTCTTGCAAGAGAGGTTTTAGTACCCGGGGTTTTAAGCGTCAAGCAAGGCGGAGAAGATAGAGTGCGAAGAAAATCCTCTCGATTAAATGCCAAGCTCAGAAGCCATGGCATCAAAACTACGTCGTTTAGGGCTATCAGCATATTTATTATACAAAAGGCGTGGAATTAAGGAATTTACATTGCTCCTCTCAAGTTAGAAGTGACCACGAATCCTTGGTAAGAAAAAAATTGTGGAAATCGTTACTTTTTGTAACCAAATACAACTGATTAAACATTCACAAAATTATTAAAATTCGTTTTCCTATTGGTGCTATGGGGAAAAAAAAATATTACAAACTTTTTTGAGAGATTTGGTCTAAACAGCCATTTCCTTCTCCCAAAACTTATTTGATTCTTGCATCTCCTCGCCATTACAGAACCAAAACCCCCCAACATAACCAATTCCTAAAACCCTTCTCCTCCCTGTCCCTTAACTGTTGGTCGGAGCAGATTTCTCAGGCGAACTGCTGCTCGGAGATTCTCCCGGCGCTGCGAGGGAACCATTCCCGCCTTCGTCTTGAGACACGACAGGAATCTTGACGGAAGAAGCTCTCTCCATTTCCTTCTCGAGCTCTTCCTCGGACCGCAATGCATTGAACTGAGTCTCCAGAGACTTGGCTGCGGCCAACCACGCGGTCACAATACCCAGCAGGATGATTCCGAGGTAAGGTGTTGAGTTAGCTAGTGAGCCAAAGGTTAAGATCATGAACTGCTGAATCAGAGCTCCACCCGATTTCCCCAATGGGTTGCACACCACATCTATGGCGGCTTTGCCTTTAACCTGGAAGGAAACTGCATCTTAAAACACGAACTAGACAAAGATTTCTCCGACAAAAAAGGGTAGAGAGAGACAAGAGACGAGTCACGAACCTTAGTGTCTTCATCCAAGGGGATATAGGCCATTTCTTTGCAAGGATCAAACAAACTGTACTTGGCACTCTTGCTGAAGATATTCTGAAGGGCACCGACATAGACAGCCGCGAGAAGAGGGGTCATGCCAAATTTGGCAAGGACAGGTGCGACCGGTCCACCGAACAATATCAGAGAGAAGAAGGCAACACCGGTCAACAGCAATACAGTGGGTGTGATCTTGGCTGCAACTCCCCATCCGTACTTATTGAATATGTATTGGCTCAGAAGCATCATTGTGAACGTGGCTATACCCGTGCAGGTTGAGAAGTCACCCATAAATGCTGAGTACTCATTCGGGCTGGGGAACTGTAAAACAGCAGGGAGAGATCTCAGGTTCAAGAATGCAAATGTTTCATGTTCAGAACTTTTTGAGTTCAAGGTTTGGTTTTTTTACCTGCGCTTTGAGCTTCGATTTCCATGTGACTTCGACAAGGTTGATACTTATACCATAAGCAACCACCAACATGGCGAGATCCCTGATGTATGGTGATGACACCAAGAACTTCAAACTCTCCATCGTTCCCATCTTTGGTTTCTCCTGTAAAGAGTTTCAGAATCATGGAAAATGAACACATCAGAAGAATCCTCAGAAGCATTACCAAAGGAAAATTGTTTCTATGATTCCGATCTTTGAAACATAGGTAGGTATATATATGCCATCCCTATTCAACACGGTTGCACAAATCCAACTTCTTACATCTTCACTACCGAAAATCTTGCATCAAATTCGGGGAGTGAACCAAAACCCGAGCGGTAATATGTGAAAAGAGGGAGAGGAGAAAAGGTACAAATTTTACCTTCTTCTTCTTGCTGCGGGTTGGGAGAGGGACGTATTTATTCACCCACCAGTACAAGAAACAGATGGCCAGCCCCATGCCCACCACAATGCTCATCATTGCTTTCAATGAAACGGCCCAACCGTCAACTCCAGGACCAAGATTCTTTCTCAAGTTAGAGAAGTACTTCACAGTTCGTCCCGAGAAAATAAGAGCAACATTGGCCCCGAGTCCGAATAAAGGATAGAATTTTTTGGCTTCTTCAACTGTTGTAATCTGCAAGCAAGAAACACATACGAGTTAACTCACGAATAGAAACAGCTCGGACTGAGGAAGGCAAACACACAAGATAGAGCATACGCGACAGATGACATGAAAAAAACACCATGAGCAATCACACATAAACTGAATCAGATGTCTCAAATGTATCGCGCAACACAATCTTTACAGGGCTGTTGTCTTTGGCCGATAATTTTCATCGAAAATCATACATATCATAGTCTCCAAAAATATCTGAAATGTAAATAACATGAAAAAAGACAATATGACAATGATATATGCCAGTCACCACACCAGACTAGACAGTTTGGTATTGTTAGTTACAGCTAAAGAGTTCCAACACAGCTATGGACCATCAATTCATAATCAAAGTAATAACAGCAGAGGCACAAACTCAGAAACAACCAGCAATCAGCACCATATATGCAATAATCTTCCAGATTAGGGAACGGTCTAATTACCTGATTAGCAAAACCCCAGAAAAGAACCGAAATCACCACACTACCCCAGAGTTCAGCCATGACATAGAACAAACAGAAACTCCAAATCCTCAGAATGGCAAGAGGACCCAGAAATCTGGGGCCGAGGGACGCCAAAAGCTTATCAGCAAGAGCTTGGGGATGAATATGGTTGCTAAGCGGGTACATCAAGAAACCAAATGCCCCAAAGAAAGCGATAAATGGGACAATGACGGTGTAAAAGAGAGCATCTTTGGACAAAACATTGGCCAGTTTTGTGTACAACAACATGAACCCAACGGCCATAGGAAGATTAACCCATGTCTTTAAGAAGGGTATAATCTCGGCAGAACTTCCCTTCGCTGTCACCACCAAGACATCTTTGGTATCCCTAAGGATTGTGTAGTTGAAAAGAATGCAGAAGAACATTAACCCTAACGGAATAATCTTCTTCAAGGTCGTGACCTCAACACCAAAAATCTTCGGCGTCGCCGGTACTGCCGCCGTGTCCCCTTCGCCGAAAACGGGACGATCGCCGGCGGCAGCCGCCTCCGCCTTGCAGATGAACCCTCTGCTTCTCTCCTCGTGGGAAACCGAAATCCCATGTGGGGATGACTCAAAGACCAGAAATTTCTTCTGCCCATTAGAGGATAGCGACAACCCAGGTAAAGTACTGGGCTTTGAGGAGAAAATTCTCTGTTTCAAGCCATGAGAGGGCCGAAGAAGACCTCTAACACCGGTGGGTTTCGCCGGTAAAGAGAGAATTCCCCTGGTTTGTAACACAGCTTCCATCTCTCTCTCTCTCACTCACTCTATGTGTCTCTCTCTCACACACCCACACCCACACACTGTCTCCGGTAATTCCCAGAAAGAGCGGCGTCTACGGAGAGAGAGGGAAGATAAAGAACGTAGAGAAGAAGGTAGTTTTCCACCACCGGGATGTTACTAAAAAGAAGAAGATTGTAATATGAGATATTACCAAAAAGGAAGTTGTAAAATCTCAAAATGCGGAAAATTTTTGTTTATGTAATAAAGAATAAAATTTTCCCCAGAAAATCAGAAAACCCTAATGATGCCCTCGTTCTAATAAGGCACCAAGATCAACCTCAGAATTAAATAAAAATACAAATGCTTTTCGGAAAAGATAAGTGGGTAGGTGGTGGTTTTGTTAAAAAGAAGACGACGAGCCTTTCATGGCAGCGCAAAACAGAGGATCGCTCTTCCCGGGAGGAAAAAAAGCCCCGAGGGTCGTAAGCGCGTAAATTCCGGTTTTGCCCCCGCAACACTGTTAAAATGACTGTAATACCCTTTACATATTAAATTTGCCCTCCTCTCGGTTTCATGCAAGTTGGTGGTGGCGATTATCGTGCTAATGTAAATCACGTGTGCCCTCCGTGATTTTAATCTTTTTTTCTTTATTTTTGGTTCTTTCGAAATCGGTTGGACTTCAATGGTACAATTAAAACACCCGTGCTCTTGTTTGTAATTACGAAAAAAGTTCATAATCCATTTGATATACTCCCATTACGAATTAATAAGAAAATATTTATTTACATTATATATTAGAATTAATGATTAGCAAATAAAAAAATAAAATAAAACCATTAGATTTGGTGCCGACTATTGCGGGTTAGCGTAAAATATTTGGTACACGCATCCAAGTTGACCACTTATTCTACAATTCTGGTCAAAAACTGGTTTGCGATTATGACCATTTGACATATGGTCCAAAATGGTTAGCCAAATAAAAATTTGAAAAACGAAATATTATTTATATTTGTTTAATATTCGTTCGTCCATTTCAACGTTTATTCTCTTGTACATCATATATGATATGTTGTATTCCAAGAGGATCAACTAAAGGTATATTTGGAATTAAACTCGTTATGGTAATTTAAAATCTAATATTCTATTTAAAGCTTCTCAGCATTTAACTTCTAAAATAATCCACAATCATGAGTTCCAAAATAGAGGCTCTCGAAAAATAGTTATTAAAATCGTTTGGATGAATTTGCTTTAAATATAAAACACGCATCGACGTAGAACATTGGAATAATATATTTTGGACCATGGTATCATTTGGACCATCGCGCCTCCCCGTTTTCTGAAACGTTTTTATTTTGGGAAATACAATAGAATACATTGAAATTGAACACGCACCGAACTTATTCTTTTATAAAATATGCATGGTGGTGGACTGTCGATTTCATCTTCTTACGAATGCAACTTGCATGTAATGTGCCATTTCGAATCATCACTATATGGTTTTAGTGAAGAAGATGGCATGTCTTCCTCCCTTTTTTTTTTTTTTTTTTTTTTTTGAAGCACTATGCAACATTGTATGAATAGACATGCAATTATGAATTATCGGCCGCAATTATTAATTTTAGTACTAGTCTCCCCCCCAAAAGCAAAACAATTCTATTCAAAGCTCCCATGTTTCACAATTCTTAGATGTGAATCCGTTTGTTTTTGTTTTTTTGTCGCTGATATCATTCCGTCACGTTCTCAACTTGCTACCACGGACCACGTGTCTTGTAAACTTGCGTTGAAATAATATTCTAATGCGATAAAAACATTAATTCATTAAAAAAACAACATTAGCCGTATGATGTGTCATGTTATGTATTGATCATGAGAACATAGTGTTATATATGTTGTATATAACGCTTCTCTCCATTTCCATACTCATTATGGTATAGCAGATTAATTTATCGGGAACGTGTAAGACAAATTGATTGATGTAATATAATTGTATTTCATAGGCGCCGTAGGATATTTTTGCCACCCAAGTTGCAAGGAAAGATCCAATGAGGAGAAGATTCTCGCGAGGATTCTTAGAGCGGGACCCACATCGTTCTCGTGAGTCGTACTGATCCGACGGCGGCTATAGTATCCACGTGGCGAAAATGTAACGGACCTAGGGAGATAGAATGCGCTTTTCCCGAGATGTGAGAGAGAACGGTGTTTAGTACCGACACGTCAGCCACTTTACGTTACCCGTTTGTCCTTCTGTCTCCCTTTGCCTCTTCCGGACACGCTTCCTCTTCCGCCGAGATGCGAGATATTTGTCCCTTGTTTTTTTCGGAATTTTTCAACGGATCTGATTTCGCCACGTCATCAGGAACATGGAATGGGAGTTTTAAAATGAATTTGTCGAGTGCTTCTCCATTGGAATGGATAGTCACGGGGTTTTCCCATGAACGTCATTCAGATATTGGATTCTGTGGATGCTATGATCATATGCATATATATTTCAAAGTCTGTTTGGTCTTTAGATGATTAGGCCCATTTACAAAAACGGCCCATTGCTTGAATAGACAAAATTCTCAAGAGTATATAGCCTAGCCCAGGGCCCCGTTTAAATATGGATTGTTTTGTCGTCTTTTGGAGAAACGAGGAACAAAGCCCAATTCGGCCCATGATTCACTCCAACGTGAATGCGACATCAAACAGAGCCCAATACGGGAGGAGTGAACAAATGGGTGAATTGTAAGAATGATTTATGAAAATTTTAAAGTTGTATTGCAATAACAACAGCCGAAAGAAGAAGAAGAAAAGGAAAGGGGGAGAGAGAGAGAGAGAGAGAGAGAGAGTGATGAATGTTTTGCCTTTCGCAGTTTGGCAATTGGGCTCTCTCCATTCAATGCAGTCTTCCCTCTTTATCATGCTTTTGTTCACTCTCTCTTTCTCCGGTCAACAACACAAAATTGAACTTTCCCATTTACCATTATAATTATTATTATTACACATTTATATACGTGTATGCGTTGGACCTTTGGTATATGATATTTGTCAAATTTCAAAACCCGTATCTTAATGTCAACAATAACAAGTCATGGCACTTGCATTTTATTGTTTGTATGTAGACCACACGTGGGACCTAGCTTTAGAAAAATAACACACATCCAATGTGAATTTGTGCAATTCAAATTGCATGGACGCACGCACATCTTAATTGAACCCTTCTTTATATATATATATATATTTAAATGATGAAAAACGTTGAAGAAACAACGGAACAAAACGGAAATATTTATCGATCGAATCGATAAAAGCGAAGTGGGTGGGACAAAAAAAAACAAGGACGTGAGAAATTTAAAAAAAAACAATGAATGCAATTCAAAAGGAATGGATCCGAAAAGTACAATGAACTCCAAAATCTAACGGTCACAAGACCCACATCGGGTCGGGCCGACCCGAAACTGCCTCTTCACCGAATCTACAGAACTGCTGGTAGTTCTGTTCTTCTCACTCCTCCAATGGCATAACCGTCTTTTTCTGTTTTCAATCATGCTAAACAGTAGCAGGTTATTACAACAAGTAAAAGCATCCATTTTTTTTTGTTTCTGCATATATATAACATGCATGGAATTAGCGAATTAATGAATATGAAGTAGAAAGATTCCTACTTTCATCTTCCCTATAACAATATAACCTCGTCAGACCCAACAGTTGGTGGTCCAGTGGCCGAGAGGTGACAAAGTCATCCTCAAGGTCTTGGGTTCGATTCCACCGATGGGGAGGAATGTAATTCTGGACTAAAATGATCCATATACAAAGGTTGGTCCCGAGCTTAGGGTGGATGTAGTCGGACCGAAGGCCCGAAGAACCATCCTGGTTATAAAAAAAAAAATATAACCTCGTCATTAGTTGATTCTCTTCTAACATGTTTCAATGAATTTTCCACCCCAACGAAAAATAGGCTACAAAGAATTAATAATGTTTCACATAGTTCAATAACGAGGAAAGTAGGAGGCTCTCAAAAAATTACCAAAAAAGAATTTCCCCTTGGGTATATTTTTCAAATATATTTTTTAATAGCTTATTACTTTTGAAACCAGGGGCAGAATCGTCCAATAAAAAGTTCTGAAGAGCATGCTAGGACCAACCCAGTTGGTGTGTCGTTGTTAATCATTGGTTTATTCGTAAAACACCGGAACTAATTAATTAACTGACCATTTAATTACCCCTAATATTCAATTAAATTTTAATACAAGTTTAAAAAAAGAAACGTTGAAGAAAAATAAAGGCAGGGGAAAACGGAGGTTTTGGATTCCGGAAGAACCAAAAAGCTTTTCCCTTTTCTTTTCTTTTCCCCTTCTGCCTTTCCTGCGATTCTGAAATATCTCTGCATGATCTTCGATCAGATTCGTAGCAATGGCGTTTCTTCGTGATCATTGACTGTTCCCATTGTAAAAGAGAGTGGGTTCCCCGTCGTTCTCCGCCGCCGGGAGATGGCCAATCCGCCAAATTCGCCACTAAATCCTCCGCAATCGGCGGATTCTTGGTCGTTGTTGTGTCTTCTCGCTAAGGTGTGTACTCCGACCTAGGGCGACCAAAGGAAAGATCTGTAACTCGTTGATTTGATCCGATCAATCGTGTCGAAGGCGCACAAGCATTCCATCCGATCGGCGGTTGTCGGAGACACACGGGAAACGGTAGCGCCGGATTTCAATCGGAGGATCTGTAGCCGTCCGATTGGAGGACTGGTTCGTCTGAGACAATGGGCAAAGGGTGGTTTGTCGTGGAGAAGACGAGAAGATGCGCAAGGACACTGTTTTTCATGGTGGCGATGGTGGCTTCGCTTTTGGTGTCGTCGTTGCCGGTGCTTGTGGCCATTGTAGACGTGCTCGTCCCGAGTTTCCTGTTGTCTAGCTTCACTTGCCTGACTTGCTACGGCGTGAAGGAACATCTGCGTCGATATGGTTTCAAGAGCTCTTTGACCGATATACCTCTCGTCTCCGTCGTCAGATCTTTCCTAGTCATCTGTACGGTCATTCCACTCTCTCTCTCTCTCTCTCTCTCTCTCTCTCTCTCTCCATGAGTTTTGCAGGAATTCTTACTGTGCTATAGTTTCGATTTCGATGCTCTGTGACTCGCTTTTTACGGACAATGGGAGCCTAAAGAGGGCGTGAAACGATTTCTTCAGCAAAAAATTTGATCTTAGGCATTGGTATCAAGCGATTTGAAGTGAAGACTTTGTTGTTACTGATCAACTGAGATAATTTCGTGATAATGCAATGTCATGAATAGATTCTTTGGCATTTCCTATCTTCTGAAACTGAATTAGCATGTAGATGATGCCAATGGATGATAACCCTACCTTGTTCATAAGCTCATTATTGGCTTTATACATGCAACAGGTGTCTATTCCCTATCCGATGGTCCAGCCCTCTCGCACGGTCCTTACCTGGGAGCCGTGTCGTTGTGCTCTGTAGTTTCAGTTCTTCTTCTTTCAGTTAAAGCTTGCATCTTCACTGTAAATACTCAACTCGAGGCTGAAGCTTCATTATCTCTGTCAAGGCAACGGCTCCACCTTAAGAAGTCGTGGGGGATGCCGGTTTTGTTCCTCTCATCTGTGGTTTTTGCCCTTGGACATACAGTTGTAGCATATAGAACTAGTTGCAGAGCAAGGAGGAAAAATTTGTACCACAGAGCGGACCCTGAAGCTGTAAGTTTGCCTTCCTCCTTTCCCATGAAGCTGGGCAATTTTTTCTCTCCATATTTCGCGTGTGAACCCTGTTGATTGTTTTGCAGGTCCTTACATGCAAAAGTGTTTTCTCTGGCTACCAGAAAGTGCCACGTTCTCCCACACCCTCGGTAGGAAAGGCCTCCAAGATTGATATGGAGTCGAGGCGAAAGCCTCTGCCAACGGCCAACGATGAAGGAGAGCTCCCAGTGAGATTGCTTGCTGATCTTGACAGCCTATTCATTACAATCCGAGCACTCACTGTGCATTACAAGCTATGTGTACCTGGTTCTACTCTTCAGTCCATCTCCTCAGCTTCCCCTGTTGAAGTGGAGACAATGGCAGGAAGGTTGAAACCTGACAGGAAAGCATTGAGTATGATTAACAAAACCCAGCATCACCATCAGCATCACCACAGGAGCTACAGCAGTCAATTTAACGGTTGTTCCTTGCACGTCCCGCTTCTTGATGGTTCGCCTACTTCTCTTCCGTTGAAGGAAATTCAGGACGGGATTAGTCAAGATGAGGGCATGACTCTTTCCAATATTGCGGGGCTGGAGCAGGGTTGTGATGGAAACAGTCAGTTTGGGATAGTCCTGGTTCATGGGTTTGGAGGAGGAGTGTTTTCTTGGAGACATGTGATGGGGTCACTGTCTCATCAGCTTGGCTGTGTTGTTGCTGCATTTGATAGGCCTGGTTGGGGATTGACTGCCAGGCTGCACCACAAGGATTGGGAAGAAAGGGAGTTGCCCAACCCTTACTCACTTGAAAGTCAGGTAGTTTTCCTTTCTAGTTTTGACTTAGCATTGGTGTTTTCTTTGGACATCCTCCTGAATATGAATCTTGAACTTAAATAGTTTTGATGTTATCCAATCCAGGTAGATTTGCTTCTAGCTTTCTGTCATGAGATGGGCTTCTCTTCAGTAGTTTTTGTCGGTCATGATGATGGCGGTCTGCTCGCTATGAAAGCTGCACAAAGAATAAAAACATCAAACAATGCCGTAAATGTGAGTAGATTATAAGTTGAGTATGGTTTTCAGGTTTGTCTCCACTATTCTCGCTGACATACGTGGGATTTTTACTTCCTTGTCCCAACAAGTTCAGGTTGCAGTTAAGGGGGTGGTTTTGCTTAATGTAAGCTTGTCAAGGGAAGTAGTTCCTGCTTTTGCGAGAATACTTCTGCACACATCATTAGGAAAGAAGCACCTTGTCCGGCCTCTTTTGCGTACCGAAATAGTCCAGGTGGTGAACCGACGTGCTTGGTATGATGCTACCAAGCTGACCTCGGAGGTCTTAAGGCTATACAAAGTACTCCTCCCTTTGGCTCTCATTCTCCATCTGCATTATTTTCTTCATAGTAATTGCAAATGTGGGCTATACATGTGATTTCTCCCTATGGGATGATGTCAGGCCCCGTTACATGTAGAAGGATGGGACGAGGCTCTTCACGAGATAGGTAGATTGTCGTACGAGATGGTGCTTCCTCCTCAAAACACATCGACGCTTCTGAAGGATGTGGAAGAATTGCCAGTCTTAGTCATTGCAGGAGCAGAAGATGCCCTTGTTCCTCTAAAGTCATCCCAAACCTTGGCTTCCAAACTCGTAAACTCTGTAAGTTCCTCCTGCATCAGAAAGCCAAACTCTCTTATTTTAACCATCCTTTTTTCATCAATAAAAAAAAAGGAGAGAATCTGAAAGAGAAACATGTTTGTGAAACTGGCAGAGGATAGTGGCGATATCGGGATGCGGGCATCTACCACACGAGGAGTGTCCCAAGGCGCTGCTTGCGGCCATGTCTCCTTTCATCAGCAGACTTTTACTTAGGCAAGATCTGCTTGATCATCAATAGCCAAATCTGTGCCCATTTCGTCTTAGCAATACGGTCGGTCGATTTGATTAGTTTGTGTCAGACCCAATGCTTTCTTTTCCTTGCAAAAGGAGGAAGGAGTTTGGGGTCGGAGGTCCAGACAGAGTACCATATTTATCTGCCACTCGAAAGATGAGTTGCAGAGCCGCGTTGTCTTCGTACATTCATCAGGTCTGGAATGTGTGATTTCGGCAACCTCTTGTAATGTGAAAGAAATATACTCCCTTCATACTCGGTTCAGTTATGGTAATGACAAATGAAGCCTCTAGGCTTGAGGATATAGTACCGATTTTTTGTAGGGGATGATCAAACCAAAACCACCCAAGTGGTAATTTCAGACAACCGGTAACTAAACAAACCGTGTTTAGGCCTACATCTTCAGTACAGAGGCGTTCAGCGAGAGTAAGAAGAATGTTTTAGAAGGATAAATATATAAAGCAGAAGAACTCAATCAAGAAGATCTGAGACAGCCCTCTTGTTGAACGGATCGGCCTGAGCCAACAGTGCAGCCATAGTTCTGTTCGGGTAGATGTTGTCTGCCATCATTCTCTCTCTCATTCCGTAAGCCGGGTTCTTGGCATTTACATAAGCCTGTAGGAGGGATTGGAACTGCCTGAACTTCGATACATACCCGGACTGCCTCATCCTTAGGAAGATCTTCTCTGCGTTGTGGATATCGCCCCTTTTCGAGTACTCGTCCATGATGTACATGAAGGAACTCATCATAGGTTTCATCTGTCTCTGCTTCGCCGCCTTGTTCAATAAAGAGTCGGCCTTCTCCACTTCCCCTGCTTCCACGTAGAGCCGGACAAGTGCATCCCATGTCAAACCTCCGACGGTGCAACCGGTGTCCGCCATTCGTTTGACGAGATCCTTACCCTTTGAGAGCATCTTGTGATCCACGTATACACTCAGGAGAGCCCAGAAGACCCTCGAAGGAACTTTGTATCTCAGTTTCAGTGCCTTCTCGAAAATCTCCTCGGCTTCTTTGATTTTCTTGAGCTTTCCAAAAGCCTCAACTGCAGCTATGCAGTCTTCCATTCGAGGGTTTTCATCGTAGATCTTCCAGATTCTTTCCACATCATCCGCTCTCCCGATAGATGCATAGACAGGGAGCATAGCCTTGCATGCCCAGCGCTTCGACTTCAAACTTTCACCTTCCATCTCTTTCAGGACTTTCTCGGCCTTCTCTACAAGCCCTGCAGTTGCATATTGCTTAGCTATGGTGGACTGTGTGTGAAGGTCTGGTTCAACACCTTCAGCCTTCATTGCCTCCACAATTTGCTCCATCCCGGTTATGTCATTTGATGACCCCTTGGCCTCAATCAGAATCTTGTACGTGAGGCGACTAGGCTTGACGTTTTCTTTCTCCATTAGTAATAGCACATCAGCGAGTTTCTTCTTGTCAACTCTCTTGTACAGAAGAAGCAACTGATCACACGCAAATGCAGTCAGAGGGAACCCTAAGTCCTTCATTTTGTTGAAAACCTCCTGCGCTTTCTTCACATTGCATGAGGCCGCGCAATTTGCCAGAAGGGTCCGGTATATCACTTCCCCTCGGAAAGACTTTGGGACCTTCTCGAGATAAGCTTCCGCCTTGTGCAGGCCATATATCTTGGCTATCAAATCAAGCCGAGAAACATAGTCTCTCTCTTCAAGTTCGATTTGCTTATTCGCTTCCAACCACTCTAACATCTACAGAAACAATAAGATGGGATAGCGAGGGCATAAACATCAAACAAACATAAGAAGAAAAGCCTAAAGACGAGATGATTATCAGAGAATCTTAGGAAGCATAATTGCTCGAAAAAACAATCAGCGTTGATATTCAGTCTGGAGCATGATGCAAAAGTAGTATAGACATGGAAAGAAAACTAATAAGAGAATTAATTACCTGCAATGCTCTCCCATACATCCGGCGTCTACGCAGTTCGGTCATCACAATTGCGATCTCGGCTTGGTTTATCACTTTCCCTTCTTCCAACCATTTATCAAGGGCACTCCCTACAGATAGACCTGGTGCAGAGATAATGGCCCAGAACAGCTCGGATCTCTTCCCTGTCGCTCTTCCTGTACCATCATCGGTTCCTTTGACGTCATCTTCATTCCCTGAGAGCTCCTCAGAAGTTAAGTCATCTTCAACGTCACTTTCACTGCTAGTCTCTTGGGGAGACTTTGCACTCTCGAGCTCTGAAAACCCGTCTTCAAGGTCATCTTCTTCCCCAACACTTGTAGCACCAGTTTTCGAGGAAAATGCACGTCTACTTGCAGAGAAATCCGAAGAGACATGGTAAAATCTCTCAAAATCTTGGGATTTATCAGATACTACAGAAGGTGATTCAAGAACAGCGCTCCTTCTCAGCGACGTCTCTAGTTTAGCACACACGGCGTTAGAAGCACATAAAGGGAGCCTTTGGCTTCTGAAAAGTAGGAGAAAACAACATAAGCTATTTGAAAACAAGTCGGGCAATCCTGAAAACTTGATATACTGTCATCTTAATCAAGAACTTTTTACCGATAGCAGACTAAACCCACGCAGTGGATGAATCTGATCGGTTGTTGCGACATGCGAACACAGACAAAGAAAACGCAAATACACTTATGATACATGCGGAGCTCTCCTCGAACGATGCGGGGAAACAGGTTACGTGACAATGGCATACACATAAATCTATGTATATTTACACAACAAGCATTTAAACGACACATATAATCCCCAACTGGCATCCTTATATGATACTTTTGTAATTTCATCTAGAGAAATAATCTTCGTCCCGTTCGGATCACCCTCATTACAGGACATAAAGTGGGCTTAACAAGCCGAGAAATGAAGAATCAAATGATACAGCACAGCACAACCATGAACATAAGGCGTGCTAACCTCCGCAACACCTTGGAAAGAGGGAACATTTCTCTTCGCCGACAAGTTCACGGGCACTGATCTGTCTTGGGGGGGAAAAAACAAAACACGGAATCAGTTAATATTATGCCTTACAGCCGGAGAGAAGAAGCCCACGGAGAGGAAATCAGGATTCGAAAGGACTGGAATAAGAAGATTACGATCATGAGGTGATCGGAGAGGGAATGGGAGCAATGGAGAAAGGGTTTAGGGTTTTAGGACGCTCCCGAAGCGGTCATGTCGGGTGCGTTGGGCCCTCAGACGGATCCTCTGCCCAATTGCTTATGAGCCCTTTGATATAATAAACCCATTTCTTGCGTATTCTAACATTTTCTTTTAGAGAAAGATTTCGATATCTCTAGCCGAATTCCCCTGGATTGCATTTCAAAACTTTTTTCTTTCAACAATAAAGTTTTTTAAAAATATATATATATAATCCCGAGGAGGAGGAGGGGGTGGGTCCAAACCCAATATCTGAAGATGGAGCTTTCGTCACTGTCGCGAATTTATTTACGGTATGCCCTGTAACCGGAAAACATGTCCAAATACGTACAGAGCACACGGGCATGTCCGTATTATTCATTCTGGAGGGTATCAGTATCACGGCATCAACAGGACAAGGTAAAGAAGGATATTTCCGGGTTTCCTTGGGCATGGGAGGCCTTTCTCCCCAGCAGTAGGCAAGGCCGCCGCTTCACTCACCAACCAGCTGCCAGATTCTTATGGTCCCATCTTCCGAACCAGACCCATACGACTCCCCTCCCGGCTCAAACCTCACGCAGTGCACCGCCCCATGATGCCCCTTGTTACACCCTGCATTCACCCTCACTCATTATCATATCCACACGAGCATATCCAGCCAGAAGGCCCACTCACCCGTCTCTTCTCCCGTCTGGAAATCAAACACGTGGACCCACATATCTTCCCCTCCCGCTATGAATGTCTCCCCCTTTTTCGGTTCCAAGGAAGCCGATTCAACGCTGCAAGGCATCTCGTAGCTCTTCACCAGTCCAAAACTATCGCAACAAGAACATTTCAGAATCAACCATTCGAAGGAACCAAACAAAAACACAAAGTATTTTATCTTGAGTTTACTGATTCGCATCCCAAAACTTTACAGTAGATCCATCGGCAGTGGTTATGTATCGCCCGTCCCGACTTACTTCCGCGCTAGTAACCGGCGACTTTGTTTCCAAGGTTTGAATGATGTCGCCAGTTCTTGTGTCCCAAAGCCTACAGTACAGATTCAAAGGTGAATCCGGTACATGCTAACAACAAGAGCAAAACCCACGAAAAAATGTACCAATGCAAGACTGGTTATTCACTATTTCTTCATGTTGACATACCTAACACCGCCAACGTCTGTGCAAGAACTTAAGATAGTCTTATCACTGTGAAGCCATGCCAATGTTCTAATCGAACCGGGGGATTTGTCAATTTCTCTAGGAGGTGCGTCCGGCCGATTCAGATCAAATATCCGAAGAATTTTCTCCATTCCACCAGTGAGTAAAAGTGGTGTATCCTGGAAAAAAAGGCGAGTTACATGCATCATGACCACAGCAGAAACACGGATGAAAAAGAGAAAGGATTCCGTTGAAACCTTTGAAAGGCAACCAAATCAATCTGAGCTGACGTAAAAGAAGATCTCAGAGCTGGGATACCTCAGAGAAGGAGCATGCACGAACAATGTGCTTGTGATCAAAGGAGTGCAATTCGTCTCCCGTCAAAGCATCCCATAATTTCCTGAATGCATTAAAATAAAAAGATCTTAGCTCCTGGGAAATTGCCAGAGTGCCATCGATCGATCTAACGTGGCGGTTTAGCACTTGTACCTCCCTTTCTGAACTAATAGTTCATCTTGTGCACTTCACTTAATCAGCTACCAGTTCGATTACTGAGTTTATTTGAAATTGGCACACATGATGATGAAGTGGTGTCTCAAGAAACAAGAAGAGCAATGACTCACGCGGTAAAATCGGCAGAAGCAGAGGCAGCACGGAAGGCATTTTTATCAAGGCAGCAACTCCACACAGCTCCCTTGTGTCCTTCAAAGGTCCCTACCCAGTCGCCCGTCTCCCCGTTCCTCAACATTGGTTTAGCATCTAAATTACGACTCTACACATTTAGATTCGCAACCAAAGCAACAGCTCACACCAAATCCATAACTAGCACTAGCAGCGATAAGGAGATGAAAAAAAAAACATAACTTTCCTATCCGCAAAGAACAACGACTCCTAATACCCCCATTTCTCCATTGCAGCAGCAGGGGAATACTAGAATGTACCATCGATTAATCAAATCACACAAACTACACAAATCGAAATCCAGGGAGGATGACAATCTAGACACGGACCCACGTAAAAAGTCCATCGATAAGACATGTCAAATGATCTGAAAAATAGGATCATACCCTTGCTTGCGCTTATGAGGAAGAACCCATCTGGAGTCGCCGGGCTGTAAAACAAATCGACGACGGGACGAGAATGCCCGTGACACACCAGCGGAACTCCCATCTTCTTCTTGTCCATTTACTAAGAAACCCTAACCAAAATCCGACCAACAACAGGGTATACTCCTTCAGAGTGACGGAAATCGACTGATCTCTTCGCTTCACTCCGGAGAAAATCCAACAATGAACAATGTCCGAGGAGAAATAATCCCTTCTTGTTTTCAATGTGAGAAAGCCCCAGTCCCAAAAAGGGCTTGATCGACTCAACTTTCCGAATACAATCCACCAAAAATGTAATATTTTTTTTGCAACGTCGGGGACAAAAGTCTACAGAAAGTGAATAAAAAACAAAAAAAAAAATCTTTTTTCTGTAAACGGGCTAAACACAGAGAAGAACTCGCCGTCTGGCGATGACAGTTATGCTCAGAAGTCAGAACAGAGCCTTTTGTTTGTCATCTTTTCCCATCAAAGGACCTAATTTCAACATAATATCATATTATGGACCCTTATTTTGAAATATTTTCATAAATGGCGTAGACTTTATGAATGTGCATTCACTCTCCTTACCTAAGTCAGCAGTCTATAACGTTAACAAGGAACTCCTTTTCTTTTTTCTTTTTTTCTTTTTTATAACAAAGATTGTTCTCATTCCTTCGATCCGACTAGATCCCCTTTAAACTCAGAACCGACCTTCGTATATAGACCTTTTGATCCAAAAATTACATATCTCCCCATCAAATGGAATCGAACACTCGACCTTTAGATTACACCCTTAGATCGATCACTCGACCACCCCATGGTGGGTAGGAACTCCTTTTCTTTTTCTCTATTGATGCAACGTAATCATATTTATAAGTTTTTGCAAGATTCAGACAATGATCAAAACACATCCGACGTCCACTCATAAACGCAAACATGCATGCATGCATGCAAGCTCTATCTGATTCCTTTACTGTTCCTCTTGCATATTGTTTTTTTTTAAAATTATAAGAAACACTGCATTAAACCTTGTGAATCTCAGGTTTCTGATGTACTTTTTATGATTTTGCAAATGTTTACTAAAGTCTCACTAAGTAAAATGTCGATCCCTTTTTTGTATCAATCGTAATCGTTTATAATATGATATCATCTTTTAGAATACTTATTTAATTTTGTTGTGATAAGCATTATATTTAAAATTTTAAATTAATATTGTATAGGTTTAGGTTAATTCTTTTTTAAACAAAATTACGTAAGGCATGACATTAGATATAGTCTAACACGCTATTTTATATTTCAAACCATTATACCGTAGATATTATATTTTATTTGATTGTTAATAGTGATACATTCTAATAAATTTTATATTACATTTACACTTCTTCCGGAAAATATAAAAACATAAAACATGGTAATGATGGGTTGATTGATTGTTTAATTATGGTACGGTGTCTGAATTTCCGTGCGAGTTTCAGTCACGGATATTGGTTTTCAATCATTTTCAGGTGTCTACATTTATTCCATTATTAATCATATATATCGTCTTTCGGAAGCGAATGGCCTTGCACTTACAATTCAAGGAGATAACTCCTCATGAAAGCTTACTCCATTTACCAGTTTGTTTCTTAAAAGAGATGCCATTTGACAAATTCAAATCTCTTAGAATCTCTTCTAATGGGGAAATAATCATATCTTAATCTTTAATACTCGTTCCTATTGCATATTTTTTGTCATATCATATGACTATATGTTTGATATCATTCTATTACAAATTAAATATGATTACTATAGTTTTTTAATTCATGACTCGGGAAGAAATATGTAACGTTTGACTATTTCATACTCTATCACAAGACCATGTTGTATGCATGGGGCAAGTACGCTCTGAAGACAAGCATCCTCTGCATCGGTATCGAGGTTTGGTTCAACTACTCCATTTAAATATCACCTTATATATATGCAATTCACTAAAACACTGCCCCACCAATATATATATATATATATATATATATATATATATATATATATCGATTATTGTATATTTAATTTTCATCAACTAAAATACGTACACAAGTTAGAATGGTCGGTCCGCGGGTATTGGAATTTTGCGTAGGTATAAGCTATGTGTGCCGTAACCAATTACGTTACAAGCTCGTCTCCTTATTTATTTATATTGAAATTTAAAATTAAATTTGGATTAGATGGTAATTGTCTTGACCCGAACAGAAGCAAATAGACGGTGTTTCGATATTATAATCTGTTTCACATTTACACGTATAACGTATCGATTTCCTTCAATTTCATTAGAATTTGAACAATAACAAATGGGTTATTTATCATACTTAGATAACATGGGCATAAATATATGGACCGTTATATTGCATAAATATACAAATGGAAAGGAAATGAAATAATTTAAGAGTATAGCATATTAAGAAACTATAATGATCTAAAAGGCAGTAAATAAGAGAAGGCAGATGTTACTAAACATCGAGCTCTAAATATATGAACAAAATATTATTGGCATTTTAAACTGGCAAAGGACTGGAGCGTAAGTGACACGTGGCAGGTTTCTTATATGGAAGGAAATCAGAGCCCATTGGACTCTGTAGGGCCCGTGGCTGGAGCGGGCCCCACGAGCATTGTCCCTTGCCTGGCGGATTCTCTATTAAATGGGGAGGGTTCAAGTTCCTTTTTGGTTTACGAGCCGCCAGAGAGAGAGAGAGAGAGAGTCCGAAGCAAACGCTTCCGAGTTTTTTTGACGGAAATCTCGGAGACGCCATTGCCGGTTCGCTGGTATATATCTTTCCCACACGCCTTTCTCTCTGTTTCTGTTTGTGCGTATACACACACACACATACATATATACATATGAACTTAACTGTGCGTGAGCGTATATGTAATTGCGCACGTGCATGGTCTCTCTGCGTTTATGCCTGTGTGGAGGTTCAATGTGATCTGAAACGAACGTACCGAAATTTCGACACGTGAAGACGACATTTTGATTGGGAAAAAGAATGAACTTTCTCTGTGATTTTAAGGGTTTATATATATATATATATATATATATCTTCTCCAATGTTGATTACTGAGTTTGGCGTTTGGTTTTCATATATTGTAAAATTTCCGAGTTTCGCCATGAAAAAGAAGTATCCCCTTTCACAATGTGTATATATATATATGTACAGTTTTGATATGGGAATTCGATGAGAATAAGTGTGCATACATTCTGTATGATCAACGAGGGGATGTTTGTCGTGTTGGCGCAAGAATCATGGGATGGTGGACAATATTTTATTTCCCCATTTTTGCATATTTCCCCCTATTTTCTGGATGAAACGATTAAGGAAAACATTCTCTACTGTTTTATGTATTTTTTCATTTTTTTTTGGTAATTCAGTTCATAATGGAGGCACCAACCTTATAATGGGTACATATGCTTGTTTGGGTGAATGTAAAATTAAACTTTTGTTTTCGTATATATACATATATTAGGAAAAGTTATGAAACAATTACATATAAAGCTATAAATCATTGTTAAAAAAAAGGCGCATAAGCGATATGATACTATGTTTGTATGATGATCCACAGTATTGTTTCTGTAACAGCAGGTTTGCATGCTTTCTTGAAAATAACATTACAACCACGACTGGAGACGGAACACGTTAGGGTTGGAAAGAATGGAAACATTTACGTCTCCCTTTTGGCCATCTTTTTGTCAGTCACGTATAATCGTTCCTTTCTGTGATAATCGCCATTATGTCATTGCTGTCACCATCATACCAATATTGCGTATTATTGATAATCAAATAAATTTGAATAGGCATCATAATTTTCTTTGACTAGAATTATTAATTCCTTCTCATAACATGGATTGATAAATCCAAACCAAACAAGAAATGTAGTAGTTCTCTGCCTCTCATTGTTGCAGGAGCAAGTGAAATGCAAAGCCTGAGGACCCCTTTTCGTGGGGTTGTCTCCGATCTCCGGGGAAGAGCCTTGTGTTACAAGCAAGACTGGTCCTCCGGTCTCCGTTCTGGATCCGGGTATTCAATCCAATCTCTCGCTTCACATGACCAGGAAAAAAAGTTTTTTTTTTTGCTATAAGTTTTTGTGATCTTTGTGTTTCACTTTGCAGAATTTTAGCTCCTACCACTTACATATTCTTCGCCTCTGCACTTCCTGTCATCGCCTTTGGGGAGCAACTCAGCCGTGACACGGGTCTCTTTCTGTTTTCTTTGGCCAAACTTCACACCCTTTTTCTCCGTTTTCACCCAAGAAGTTCACTTTTTTTCTTCTCTCCTCTCTAGATGGAGCTTTGAGCACGGTTGAAACATTAGCATCAACGGCGATATGTGGAATTATTCACTCGATATTGGGAGGGCAACCTCTTCTGATACTGGGAGTTGCTGAACCAACAGTGATAATGTACATTTACTTGTACGACTTTGCCAAAGGGAGAGAGGGTTTGGGGAAAGAACTGTACTTGGCTTGGACTGGATGGTAAAAACAAGAAAAAAAGGCAAAACCTTTTCCGCATACGATTAATGATCCTACCGGGAATTTCGGATTTGAGAGCGTGTATTGACGTTTGATTGGCAATCTGTGGGTTCAGGGTTTGTGTTTGGACAGCTCTATTGCTGTTTCTTATGGCGATGTTCAATGCAGCTGATATCATAAATCGGTTCACCAGGATTGCTGGGGAGCTTTTTGGTATGTTGATCTCTGTTCTCTTCATTCAACAAGCCGTCAAGGTATGATTTGTTTGCATTCCATGATTTCTTTTATCTTCAGTTATCTCTCCCTTATATCTAACCAGATGGATCAAATAATTTCCCATATTTTTATTATAGGGTATGGTTACTGAATTTGAGATGCCAAAAGACCAAGACCCGAAATTGGAGAAGTATCAGTTCCAGTGGCTTTACACGAATGGACTTCTTGGCGTCATTTTCACCTTTGGGCTTCTTTACACCGCCTTGAAGAGCAGAAAGGCAAGGTCTTGGAGATATGGAACAGGCAAGTGAAGAAATAGAGATTGCGAGCCGAGACAGAGATATTTCTTTTTGGTTTGTGGCAGTGAACTCACAGATGTTGCTTTTGACAGGATGGTTTAGAAGCTTCATTGCGGACTACGGTGTTCCCTTGATGGTTGTGCTTTGGACAGCGTTGTCTTTCAGTACATCTGGGAAGGTTCCATCTGGCGTTCCCAGAAGACTCTTCAGCCCTCTTCCATGGGAGCCTTCGTCTTTAGGCCACTGGTCTGTTGTGAAGGTAGTAACGGTAATATACATTGTATTGTCGCCATTGAAAAAGTCTTTAAAGCTTCTTCTTTTTCTATGTATAGGATATGGTGAAAGTGTCGCCATTGTACATTTTAGCAGCGTTTGTTCCAGCGGTTATGATTGCAGGGCTCTACTTCTTTGACCATAGCGTGGCTTCACAGCTTGCTCAGCAGAAGGAGTTCAACCTCAAGAATCCCTCAGCTTACCACTACGACATTCTCTTGTTGGGGTTTATGGTAAATTTTGTTTCTTCCCCCAGCTAAAGTTATCTACTTTATCGTTTCGTGAACCGGTTGTCGTTTTCAGACACTGGTCTGTGGATTGGTGGGGTTGCCTCCTTCCAATGGAGTCCTCCCTCAGTCTCCCATGCATACCAAAAGCCTTGCTGTTCTCAAAAGACAGGTGAGTGTTTGCAAGAGAGAAAAAATCGCTCATTTTCTCTCTGGTTTTGAAGATTTCTGAATCTTCCGATACATCGTCCATGATTCTTAGTTAATCCGGAGGAAGATGGTGGAGACTGCCAAAGAAAGCATACGGAAGAATGAGAGCAACTCTGAGGTGTATGGAAAAATGCAAGAAGTCTTCATTGAAATGGACAAGAGCCCACTCGTAAGCTCTCTCTCCCTCCATTCATGTTTGCTTACAGTCTCTCAGAGATTCATTCTCTGCATAAATTGTCAAACCCAAAACATTGAAGCTCTGACACTTTGCTATTCACAGTCTCAGACTAACACGGTGATAAGAGAGCTGCAAGATCTGAAAGATGCAGTAATGAAGATTGAGGAAAACAGAGACAACACAGGAAGTGGGTTTGATCCAGAGCAGCACTTGGACGCTTACTTGCCAGTTCGTGTCAACGAGCAGAGGTTGAGTAACCTCTTGCAATCACTGCTCGTAGCTGCGACTGTAATGGCAACACCAGCGATCAAGCTGATACCCACCTCTGTCCTGTGGGGATACTTTGCATACATGGCCATCGATAGCCTTCCTGGCAATCAGTTCTGGGAACGCACATTGCTTCTCTTCGTAGCTCCGAGCCGTAGATACAAGTAAGATATATTCACGAAATCTCTCTCTCGTTAATGATAGAAGCACAAAAAATGAATGTTTTGAAGTAAATTTTGTTTTGTTGGGTAGGATACTGGAAGGAGCTCATGCTTCGTATGTGGAGAAAGTGCCGTGCAAGAGCATAGGGGCATTCACGCTCCTGCAGATAGTGTACTTTGCCATCTGCTACGGGATCACGTGGATTCCGGTGGCCGGAATCTTGTTTCCGGTGCCCTTCTTTGTCCTCATAGCAATCAGACAGTACATTCTCCCGAAGATCTTCCAACAATCGCATCTGCGTGAACTGGATGCAGCTGAGTACGAGGAAATCCCCGGCACTCCGAGAAACCCCCTCGAGATGTCTTTCCGGGTATATGACTTTTGTGTTACTTAAACCTGAAGGAAATCTGGTTTGGTCTGCATTTATCAAGAAAAAACAACTGGGTTTCTTTTGTTTGAAGGCGAATGAGTCACCAAGAGGCATAGAAGCTTGTGATGCGGAGATACTAGACGAGCTAACGACGAACAGAGGAGAGCTGAAGCTACGTACGATCAGTTCCAGCGAGGACCGAGGGAATCAGGTGACTTTTCATGCTTGCTTTTTTGCCATAAATATTCATGATACATGAGTTCTGGTTTTAAACTACAAAAGAAAAAGAACTTGCAGATACATCCGAGGGACATGATGGATGCAGATGAGGACAGAGACTCGAGAGAGTGAACATACAAAATATGATTGTTCTTTGGGAATCTTGCAAACCCATGTTGTATCTGGGAATCTAGAATGGATTAGCAGAGGCATATAAATCTCTGCTGTCGAGATGTAGACACTGTTCGAAAGGAATCATAAAGCAACCCACTTTAGTGTGTTAACAGATCAAACGTAAACAACATGCCCTTCAAGGGAAAACCAAAGTGACAATAACATCGGAATCTGTAAAGGGCAAATCGGTGTATAAAATATCCAGTTGAGATGGAAAAGGGTTTCACCAAAATAATGTATCGTATGCAAACTTTATATTGCAAGATATTGTGTAAGAGGTTTGTTCCAGAACTCAAAATCTGATCTCTAAATCACGACGGCAACACGTTAACGGTGCCAAAGGAAACAGAGGAGAGGAGATAGAGGCTAATTTGTAAGATTTAGGGATTCTTGTAATTGAACATTGCCTGCCTTCAACTTCAATTTTCTTAAAGTGTCCATCTTTTACGATTTTGCTCTGCGCGCTACTGTTTTAAAGGGGGATTTTTTTTTTCTTTATTCAAAGCTTGTAAAAAAAAAACTTTGTTTTTTTAAACCAAGCTTTCCTAAAACCCTAGCTCCAGAAAACCCTGATTCTCTTCCCCCGCCTTCTCCCACTCCTCCGGATTTTGTCGGCATCCGAACACCATGAACTACCGCTTCCAGAACTTGCTGGGCGCTCCTTACAGAGGCGGCAACGCCGTCGTTACTCAGAACACGCAACTAATTTCACCCGTCGGTAATCGTGTCTCTGTCACCGACCTCAAGAAGCACCAGACCGTGACGCTTCCGGTCCAGTCGTCTTCCAACATCTGCCGCATCGCCGCCTCCCCCGACGGAACTTTCCTCCTCGCCGTCGACGACAACAACCGCTGTCTCTTCATCAACGTGCCTCGCCGTGTGGTTCTCCACAGAATCACGTTCAAGGACAAAGTCGGTACCTTGAAGTTCAGCCCTGATGGTAAGTTCATCGCTGTGGGAACCGGTAAGTTGGTTCAGATATGGCGGTCGCCGGGTTTCAGGCGAGAGGTTTTCGCGTTCGAGTTGGTTAGGACGCTTGCTGATTGCGATGATAAGGTTGTCTCTTTGGAATGGAGCTTGGACTCCGAGTATCTGCTTGTCGGCTCGAAGGATTTGACGGCTAGGTTGTTTTGTGTGAGAAAGTTGAAGGGTGTCTTAAATAAGCCGTTTTTGTTTCTGGGTCATAGAGATTCTGTCGTGGGTTGCTTCTTCGGTGTTGATAAAAAGACTAACAAGGTGAACAAAGCTTACACGGTTGCACGCGATGGTTATATACTTAGTTGGGGTTACAGTGGACAAGACAGTAGAGTGGATGAATCAGGTAATGGTGGCTCTGAACCACTATCCCCTGGTACTCCAGAGAGAAACGATAAGGAGATGTTGGAGAATGATGGTAATGGCACTGAGTTGAAGAAAAGGAAGGAGTTTGACGGTAAGGATCGTGATGCAGAGGGACATGAAGAAGACGAAGAAGAGCATTTGCATAGAGGGAAATGGGTTTTGTTGAGGAAGGATGGGTTTAATCAGGCATCGGCTAAAGTGACAGCCTGCGATTATCACAGGGGGCTTGATATGGTGGTGGTGGGGTTCTCTAACGGGGTTTTTGGGCTTTATCAGATGCCTGATTTCATCTGTATCCACCTGCTGTCCATCTCAAGAGAGAAGCTAACTACAGCCATCTTTAATGAACTTGGGAACTGGTTGACTTTTGGCTGTGCGAAACTGGGGCAATTGTTAGTCTGGGAATGGAGGTCTGAGAGCTACATACTGAAGCAACAGGGTCACTATTTTGATGTTAATTGTGTAGCTTATTCCGCCGATTCACAGTTCTTGGCAACTGGGGCTGATGATAACAAAGTCAAGGTATCGAGATGTTGAAAATTCACCCGTAAATCTTGTTATGCCTTGCTGGTTATCTAGTTTTGGGTTTAACCGGTTTATGCCTTGGTGATGTTTTAACAGGTCTGGAATGTTTCATCGGGATCGTGTTTCATCACCTTCACAGAGCACACTAATGTGGTCACTGCTCTTCATTTTATGGCTGACAACCACTCCCTCTTAAGCGCATCTCTGGATGGCACTGTTCGTGCGTGGGATTTTAGAAGGTATAAGAACTACAAGACATTCACTACCCCTACGCCCCGACAATTTGTTTCCCTAACAGCAGACCAAAGTGGCGATGTGGTCTGTGCAGGGACACTGGATTCGTTCGAGGTACTTTTCCTGTGGTTTTAAATGATTCCATAGCCACTTAGCCAGAGTCTTTTGATGGTGATACGTTTTCTTAATTCATTATGTAGATTTTTGTATGGTCAAAGAAGACGGGGGAGATTAAGGATATTCTCAGTGGCCATGAGTCTCCTGTTCACGGGTTGATGTTTTCACCTTTAACGGTTAGTCAAGCTCTAAAATCTCTTCATATTCTCATCGATGGTCAAAATACTTATTTCTGGAACAAACCCAGTATGATACCTCAATAATGCAATAGAAGGTTTACGATTCCTAGATGAGTTTGTGGCTCATGTTGCTATATCTGCGCTTTACAAATCCTGTATCTCTATCATCACAGCAAGTCTTGGCTTCGTCCTCATGGGATAAAACTGTTCGGCTGTGGGATGTGTTTGCCGGGAAAGGAACTGTCGAGACATTTCAGCACAACCATGATGTCTTAACACTCGCGTTTCGGCCAGACGGGAAGCAATTAGCTTCTAGTACGCTCGATGGGCAGATCCATTTCTGGGACACCATTGAAGGTGTCTTAATGTACACCATAGAGGGCCGCAGAGATATAGCTGGAGGACGCCTCATGACTGACCGCCGGTCAGCAGCTAACTCAAGTTCTGGAAAGTGCTTCACGACGTTGTGTTATTCTGCTGACGGAAGCTATCTTCTAGCTGGAGGAACCAGCAGATACATCTGCATGTATGACATCGCAGATCAAGTTAGTTCACTTGCCCTTACTGAATTTCAATTGATTTTCCCATGAAACATTCTACCTTGATACATCAAAGGATAGGACTTTGTGTTATATTAAATTCTCTATCAGCTCGATAACTCTTGTTTAATTTTTGAATTAGCAGATTTGATCCTCTATAAGGTCAAGACTCTATGATTAATCAAAACTTACTCGAAAAGTGTTGTGATTTTACTTTTGTAGGTTCTCTTACGCCGGTTTCAGATATCACATAACCTCTCGTTAGATGGAGTTCTCGACTTCCTAAACTCGAAGAAGATGACAGAAGCGGGACCAATGGATCTTATTGATGATGATAACAGTGATGCAGAAGATGGAATTGATAGGCAGTCCCGGGGAAACTTGGGCTATGATCTGCCTGGATCAATGCCCAATCGTGGAAGACCCGTTATCCGGACAAAAAGCCTCAGCATTGCTCCAACGGGAAGGAGTTTTGCTGCCGCTACAACAGAAGGAGTTCTAATCTTTTCAATTGACGAATCCTTCATCTTCGATCCCACCGATCTTGATATAGATGTTACACCAGAGGTAGGCCTTGCCCCTGGTGAAAGCCTTTTTGGAGCTTTGTTGTTTATGGTTGTTGCAGGTTTTATGTTCTCTTGGTTTTACATAATGGACCTTAGTCATGTAGATAACTAAAAAGATCATAATAGATCAAGTCCAAAGTTGATATTTGATTGGCTCCTTTCCATCCGGAAATGTAAATGTGATGTTTTGTAGGCTGTCGAGGCTGCAATAGATGAGGATCAACTGAGCAGAGCTCTCGTTCTCAGTCTGCGTCTGAACGAAGATGCCCTCATCAAAAGATGTGTTTTTGCTGTTTCCCCTTCCGATATAAAAGCGGTTGCGTTGTCAGTCCCTTGGAAGTATTTGGAAAGGCTGATTGAGGCATTGGCCGATCTGCTTGAGAACTGTCCCCATCTTGAGTTCATACTTCACTGGTCTCAGGTACAACCCTCGTTCGTGCCTAGCTCTTCAGTAACAGCTGACCATCCAACCACTGATCTTCAATCTTTTCCTTAAATCGATTCTGGGAGATGAATCTGAGTTTCGTCCCTTGGTTTTTTTTGGCAGGAAATCTGCAAAGCGCATGGGAGCTCGATTCAGCGAAACTACAGAAACATGCTTCCATCGCTGAGATCGTTGCAGAAGGCGATCACGAGAGCTCACCAAGATCTGGCAGACATGTGTTCTTCCAACGAGTACTTGCTTCGTTACTTATGTTCCGTTGGAAACAAGAACTGATTGGCTCATTTATCATCATTGTTTGTACATCATTCGTAGGTTTCTCCAACATTTTTGTCACTAAAATTTTGACGCTCTGTTAACGATTCCAACACTTTGGCGAAAAAGTTCTCCTGAAAGAACTCCAGTGTTACAGTTAATGGGTCAGAGTTTTTCCCTTTTTGTTTCCTCAACTAGTCTTGATTGATAAATGTTTATGATTTCATGAAATGGTATAACGTTCCTATGCATTATGTCTCGCGAACAAGTTCAGTGTTGGATTTTGGATTGAAGAAACGGTTCTTCGTAGATATGACTTCGATTTGGATCACTGCCTTGGTCATGGATCCTGATTCTGAAAGTGCCAGGACACACCATGTTCCTGCAGGCAACGAACGTCCAAACAAGTGGAACAGACGCAGTTCTTGAATGTGTCTGGCAAAGATTAGTGTTTTCAGAAATTTAACAGATTTGGTCGGATTCAGACAAAAGCTTACGGATTTGGATTCAGGCAAAAAGCTTACATTTTTAGGATCAAACTGAGAAAAGAACTACAAAAAGATCAAAACTTATGATCGATTTAATCAATTTGGCGGTGCATTGGAGCCACGGCATAAAGCCGGAGCAGCTTCTGAATGGGCTGTTGAGACAGTCCCTACTACACTTGAACCATATGGATCCTCCATGAAACCACCAAAACTCATTTGAAACACAGAATGACTGTACGGTAACCAACGCAGGGCGCTTGCCTCCGCCATCCATCTCTGCCTTTGAATCTCAACTGCCCTCAGAAAGTAGAAGTAATCAGTCTCTGCCTCCATCAGTTGCTTCCATGGATCCACTTTGGGCGTCTTAAAACCCAGATGCTCGGTTTTCAAATGATTTTTCAACTGTGAATATGTCCCGGAGAAATCACATTCTTCTATAGAACAGCTCCTCGGTTTAGCATTCATGAACCTGCGTGCACTAGTCACCTTCATCGTTCCATAGACCTCTCCTCTGCATAGAGGACAGTTGAGGGACTTGGCATTGCTCCGACGGTATTGCTTAAAACAATTAGAGTGGCGGGCGGTGGTGTCACACATGTAAGGACGGCAGCCATTGGAGAAGGATGAGCAATGCAAGAGGACTGCATTGTGCGGTGGTTCCATGCAGATCACACAGCTAACGTCCTCCCATTGTTCGGAACCTTCTGACTGGAGCGGAGACTCGGGTCCTTTTTGCTTCTTGCTGTCGTTCCTAGAAGACCGAAGTGGATAAGGGGATAGCCTGGGCCTGCTGCTTGACACGGCCAACACTCGTCTTTCCTTCGGCATCGCTTTCTGTGAGAAACATAAAGCAGATATCACTGAAATGTTGCCGGAAAACATGGATCATTGTTTTAGATGATACGTTCATGAAGATCCGACTAAAATCCAGAGTTATCATCACAAAAGCTGTACAGACGGAATCACAACCAAGCCACAAAATGGCAGATAATTTTGAGCCCAACACAATCCGAGTCCCCGAGGACATATAGAACATACAGGATACAGCCGACATCAAGAATTTCAACCACAGAAGTTGATCGGACCCAGGAAAAAAGAAAAATTTCGAGCTCAACATCTGCGCAAATTGGAAGTGAAATCAAACAAGAACTCGCGGCGTAATAACAGTGCCAACAAAAATGCAAGATTTTTGTGGAATAGACAGCACGAGCGCAGATTCTAAAAGCTAATAACTCGAACCGGAAGAACTATTCCTCAGACCCAGTTTGAACGAAAACAAACCATTCACCTATCACAACAGCTGAAGAGTCGACACTCATCGCCAGGGAGAAACAACAATTCAACATTCGATTCATTAGTAGTGGCCGGGGCAAAGACAGATCATTTCGATCGCAATCCCCCGGTTCAAAGTAATCTTTCGCACAAAAACACGAAAACGACGACAAACGACAGGTTCTGCTTAGACCCATGAACAGCTAAACAACATAATCGAGAGGCATATAAGATCGAGAAGAGAAATCGACGAAAGCCCGTCAAGAGAAGGGAGAATGGGTACCTAACGGAAGAGATTCTGTGCTTTCCAGCGCAGCGTGAGGGGTTTTCGTCAAGCGGTGAACACGGAAACTTTTTCGTGTGCGCGTCGGAAGGATGTGTGATTTTGGAGGGTTCTTATAAGACAACTCTGTACAGACGAAACGCCGTCCGAATTTGACCAAATCCATCTTTTGGATTCCTTTCCTTTTCCAGGAAGTGAATAAATTATACCATTTTTTAAAAATATATTCGAATATAAAATACGCACGTGGCTTAGGTTCTGCTAATTGGGCTCTCAAGAACAAAACTTGGGCCCGACTATTAATACATAGGACGTCGTCGTTTTGCTGGGCGTCCCCCCTCCTACAGAAACCCGCAAACAAGCGTCCTTAAACCCTAGCTCAGCAGGTACCCTGATTCTCTCCTCCGCCTTCTCCGTCTCCTCCTTCTTCTCCGGTAGCTCCCCGGCCATGGCGAGGGAGAAACTGAAGCCTCTTCTCATATCTTTCACTGCCGATGGGAACTATCTCGCTGTTCTCTCTCCCAACGGAACCGTCAGGGTTAGTTCTCTATTTCGTGTGTTTCTCTGACTTGTTTTTCTGATTGTCTGTTTTCCATCATCTGTGAAATCCATGGCTCCTATGTGATTTTCTGTTTTTTTAATTATCTGTGTCCGTGCATTTCGGAGTGGGAGAAGCCTTATTGGTTTTGCCTCAGTCTTGGAATATGGTTGCACAATCAAATTCATTCGACGACTATCTCTAATAATCGAACTTCTATGTTTCTGGGATATTAACTTGCAATCCATTTCGGGATTGGGTCATCTTTGGATCATTTTACTTGGTGGCTCCTTGCTGGTTATGTAAAATTTCTCTGGAATGAGTTAGCTTTTTGGCAATGGGTAACTATAAGTAAAAAGAAGCTCAGTTTAGCTTAGATTACATGACATTATAAAGAGATGTTTCACGGAATAGTTATAGCTTATGGAGGAATGCTGAAGGGGTGTTTTGGTTCTGTGTAGAGTTTCTATGATTGCGGTTTTTAAATTCCTTTGGCTGTTTCTTTAGGTTTGGAGTACTACAGATGAAAGCTTATTAGCCGAATGGCAGCATTCGGATAGTGAGTCTGCTATCAGCAGTTCATGCATGGCATTAAGTTTTGTTGGAAAGAAGGTATGTTGTGTCGTTCTCATAACACTTATTGTTTTTTCTTTTGCACGAGATTGCGTTTGTGATTGATGCTGGTGTTGCTTCTTTTCATTGTCTGGGTTAGCCTAAGAAAGGACGTGGTAAGTGCTTACTTGCTCTTGGTGCAAAGGATGGTAACATCTCTACCATTGATGCATTCACGGGTGAGATGAAGTGGAAATTTTCGGAATGCAGTCCTGGGTACGTACGTCTAAATGTCAATCTTTTCCTGATAAAAATTGTAACTTTTTCTTTTGGTCTGCTAATATGTTAGATAGCTGAACATGTATAAATGTTGGTTTACCAGCGGAGTTGCCGATATCTCCTTTCTGAGGAATGGTCGCCACCTCTGTGTCATTGGAAATGACGGGACTGTATTTGAGATGAACTCAGAAACTGGGGAATGTTTAATGGATCTCAAAGTTTCGAAAAGGCCCATCTCTTCTGTGGCTTTCTCGTGTGGTAAGCCGATCATCTGAAAATTTATTCGTCTCTACGAATTTCCTGTCTTATTATCTGATACATATTTTCCGATATCTTAATGACAGATGAGAAACTAATTGCGTTAGCTTCCAGGAAGATGAGGATCTTAGAATTAGAAAATGGAAAAGAACTCCTGAAATTTCCAACTGATGTGGTGAGTTACATTTCTTCTTTAAAACTTTCTAGTTGCACATTAAGTTCCCAGCTTCTATATTTTGAATGTCTCTCTGTAGGGTTCAGTAAATCGGATAGCTATGTCCGATAATGGCAAGACTGTGATTACATCAGAGATTGGACAAAACTATCTACAAGTGTGGAATTGTGATTATGACTCAGGAAATGCTGTCAGGGGACCTGCCCTTACATTATCAAATGCCCCTGTTAGTTTTGAATGTAGAAGCGGTGGCGACGAGCAAGACAGCACTGTTGTACTAGCTATTCTCCAATCTGGTCCAGCTTACTTATGGAATCTGAAGAATGTCTTTGAGGATGGCGATGCATCAAAGATCTCTGTGAAACCCAAAAAATCTATCTTTGCTGCTAAGTTACTCTCCGTAGAAGCAGAGAAGCCAATCGTGGCTGTTGCGGCTTATGGTTCTGTGGATTCTCCTAAGTTCAGCCACATCGAGATCAGTAGAACTGGTGGAGATGTTGTCATAAATCCTAAGTGTGGCCCTACTGAATTCCAAGACAAAGGAGTGTCCACGAATGGAGGTTTGGGTTGCTTATTCTATTTGTTTTCATATTTCTTCTTAAATTTTCTATCGTACTCTCTTCTCTCTCTTTTTTTTTTCTGCCCTGGATTGCTCACGTAAGAAGCCCCATTTCTTGTTTTTGTAAATCGAACAGGTGAATTAGCTGATGCTGAAGCCCGAATGAACAGGAAACGATCTGAGCCAGATCCCGATTTACCCACTACGAGGGCGGTATCAGATTCCGGTGAGATATGTTTTATTGCTTGATAACGCAGTACTCTTGTTTTAGAGTTTTATGCTTGATCCTTTTTTTTCTATCAACGAATTTAAGGTCACATCATGGTAAAAGTAGATTAACTGAGTTGAGAGAACTGATCTTTTCACTGATAGACCATGTTCTCGTAGAGTTCTTTCAGTTTACGTTTACTATCTGGTTATTGTCTGATATAGGCCTTGATGAAGATACAGATGGAGTACTTGTGGATGATGATCCCAATGAGCCAACCATGGGTGAGAAACTTGCGAGTCTTAATTTGTTAGATAATGACAAGCGTGGCAGCCAGGAGCCTCCTGAATCTTCCCTTCCAGACACGGCACCTCCTACTGCAGCCTCGGTTAATGTCCTGCTTAAACAAGCTTTACATGCCGACGACCGTGCCCTTCTGTTGGATTGCTTGTACAATAGAGATGAAAAGGTTTAGTCTCTTTTTTTTTGGTTCCTTTCTATTTGGTTGTATTTTTATCATTCTTTGTTTCTCACTTTTAAATGACTTTGTGTTTTCAGGTGATTGCTAATTCAGTGGCTACACTGAATTCATCTGATGTACTCAAGCTTTTAAACTCACTTCTACCAATAATCCAGTCAAGGTGAGACGAGGCGTTCAATCAATTTCTATGAGTCATGGGCTCTTGGATTTGTTTGTGAGTGATTGAACTCTCTTCTACAGGGGTGCGCTTTTGGCGTGTGCAATTCCGTGGATAAAGAGCCTGTTACTTAAACACACCGGTGGAATAATGTCACAGGAATCCTCTCTACAAGCTTTAAACACAATGTATCAGGTTAGAAATTGATTCTTCTGCTTCTGTTTCTACTGGTGTTCGTGTGTTAGAATAAAAAAGTGGTCATGGGATCAGATAATCCTTGTGATAACGCAATGCAGCTGATTGAATCTCGGATATCGACTCTACAAACAGCAGTAGAAGTTTCTAGCAGCTTGGACTTCCTTTACACGGGGGTAAGTTGCTTTGGATTTTATGGTCGTAAAGGAAGTATTAGATCTAGCGTTTGGTTTCAATTTTTCTAAAATAAAAATGGGGATCAGAAAAGCAGAAATGAAAATGGGTTTTGGAAAGAGGATGATAACGATATTGAGGGGAAATGAATGGCAGATTGTGAAGGAATTGGATGAAGGAGAGGAGGAGGGTCCGGTGATATACGAGTTTAGTGACGACACTGATGACGAAGAGGAAGGAGAGGCCATGGAAACCGGTGAAGATGAAGAAGAAGAAGCATTCGATGATTCTGATTTAGAAGGATTTGACGACGACATGAGCGAATGAGGGAACCCCCCACCCTGCAAAGTTTTGGGCTTGAAGAAGCCATATATATGGTTTAATCAAATATATCTTCACACTCTTTTTTGTGATGCGAATCATAATCATATATGTCACCATTGCAATACCATTTTGAAGGAGAAGACAGATTTTATATATGTGTTGAGATTCAAAGCAATAATCATTCATATCGTATTTAAGATTTAATCTTGATATACAATATGCATATCTATCTAACAACTATATTGAAATGCATGTGTATATATACATAATATTAACTTTCATATAGTTCCTGATTCCTCTACGCTTTTTTGTTCTGCCAAGTAGCTGTTGAAATACTGAAATTTTGAGGAAATAGATATATATGTACATCTATAATTCTCTGTCGTGAAAATCTGACGGCTAAGATTTGAGGATATCCTGAGAACAAATCTACCTTATAAACCTCTCCCGTACGAACTCGCTCGGGGTTTTACCCTAATAACCCACTTGGGTCGCAGCAATTTCAGGGTACACCACCGAAAAAAAAAAAAAAATTTGCGACCTTATTACGACTAATATATAACTAATATACAACTAAAATAAGAGTAGTTTATTAGTCGTAATAAGTTGTATATTAGTTATATATTAGTCGTAATAAGGTCGCAAATTTTTTTTTTTTTTTCCGGTGGTGTACACTGAAATTGCTGCGATGCGACCAAGTCGACCAAGTGGGTTATTTGAGTAATATTCCCAACTCGCTCCCCTTTTCAGTTTCCGCTGTCTCGCCTGAGATATCCCCGAGAGATCCTCTCTGTTGCTCTCGACGATCTCTGGGTTCTTCGGCGCGAGATTACTATGTCTCTCACATGTGTGAAGATGTCCGAGGATGTCTGGTTGACTTGCCTCACTCATGCATTGTCCACCGAGACCGAGGAAATCATGGGTCTCCTTCTCGGCGACATCGAGGTTTTCATTCTTCTCTCTCCTTCCCCCCCTTTGATTTCTCTTCTTTAATTTCTTAATTTCCTGTTAGTCTCTTGCCCTCTTGTATGTGCTCGTCCGCCCGGTATTGCTGTCAATTCGATCCGTTTCTCCGATCGAAATCAGTTTTCAATTCTACCTTTTTTAGATATGTTTGGAGTTCCCAAGTGTTCCTGTATTCGACTGATGGGTTTCTGTGCTATGATCTCTGAGTCATTCAGTCTAACCAGATGGATTTTCCCTCTGTTAAAAATGTTCTGATGATACTCACTGAAATTTTGAACTTTGATAGTATGAAGCTTTCTGATGAGTTATATGATCCAAAGATGATGTCTTTTTTTTCCTTGCTCTGCTTGCATATGGATTAGTACTCGAAAAACGGAAGTGTCACGGCCCTAATCTGGGGAGCTTCGCCTCAGACGCGGTCCGATAGACAGAAGGATCGGGTAGAGACTAACCCTGAACAGTTGGCTGCTGCTTCAGCTCAAGCTGAGATATCCTTACTAGTTCATTCTTGTGTTATGCATTTCCTTGGGAATTCTTCAGTCCCCACGAGATTTCGGCCTTACTTCCTCCATCGGATGAATATCTTCTTCATGCCACACACTAATCTAATCATTGTTACGTTATAGTGCTTTTGGAGGTGTTTGGCTTGGTTCCTTGACTAACCTTTAGCACAGAATGACCATATCTACTGGAAGAACAACACGTGTAATCGGATGGTATCACTCGCACCCTCACATTACAGTTCTTCCTTCTCATGTGGGTATGTACGTGCCATTCTTACATTTCAACTTTGAAGTCTAATTGTTATTTCAATGCCAACACTAAATGTTACAGTTCGAGCCATTTTCATGTAGGCCCTGGTTATCTTTGATTCAATCTGTTTTTTTTTCTTTTCCAAAAATGCTTTTAGTCTCCTGATTAATATTCTTGTGATTGTCTTCTGTAAACTTTTGCACAATATCTTTCGTCAATTTAAGAGCTAAAGTCATGATATGTTGCACTTATTATTCATAATTCTGTCATGTTTTGCCACAGATGTCCGTACACAAGCAATGTATCAGCTTTTAGATTCTGGTTTTATTGGACTCATATTTTCCTGTTTTAGCGAGGATGCAAACAAGGTTAGTATCCGTCAACCTCTTTCCATAACGAAAGTTCAATGCGGATCAAGTTGAAATTCAATTTGCATATTTTCAGGTTGGTAGAATCCAAGTAATCGCCTTCCAGTCCTCTGATGGGAAGCAGAACAATACTTTTAAATCAATAAGCCTATCACTTTCAAGTAAAGATTCTGTCATCGATGTAGAGTCATCTTTAAGTTCTTCAGACTCAACATACCGGAGGTCTTATCCTTCTCGAGGAGAAAATCCTGAGCAAGACACTGGTGATTCAGCAACCACTCTCGGATATAAGGTATTATGGTCTAACTCTTTCTTGCATTTTTTTCCCCAAAATTTCTAACATTTCAATCGCAACAGTATATTGGTGTTCAACTTCGTGACCGATGTATAGAATCTATCTGCTCTTATTTAGTCTATTTCCAGAATCTTACCTAGAAACTGGTCACTCAACTAAATCACTGTTTGATAATTCATTTAAGCTTTGTCCCTTGTACACATGTGCTGCGGATAGGCTGGAGGAAGAGTTTCAGATTTCGGGGCTTTCTTTGTTAACAGTGCTGAGATTGACACCTCTGGGGGAGAACGAACCAGTGGAAACTACAATTCAGATAACATCAGGAATACAGGTGTTGATATTGATCCCATGGAAATGTCCGACGGCATGCAAGAGGCCATGCTCCGTTCAAACTTGGAAATGAGGTTTTTTTTTTTATCCGGAAAACATTCGATACCTTCATCTAGCATTGGGGTCTGTAGTGATTTTAAACTAATTTATACTTGCAGCGGTGCGGAGTATGTGAGGAAAGAAGTCCCTCTACACGTTTTGCCAACTTCGTCTCTTCTTCAGCTGAATTCGCCTTTGACATCATTCACGGATCTGCAACGAGTGCTATACGAAGAGGAACGTGCAGCATACCACCAAGCAATCCTTCAAAACATGAGGTTTCCTGATGTGATCATGTTCTTTGATTGTTGTTGTTATACGTTCACTGCAGCGTTCATATATTATTTTTCCTTCGTAGGGATGGTAAAGTTCATCCTCTGACCTATATCCACCACAATTCGACGTATCAGGCCTCCATGTGCAAGTTAATTGAATATTGGTTAGTAAAAGGTGCAGAAAAACTTTACTGGAACTCGTATTGTTCAGATTTTCATGGCTCTAATTTACTTGCAGCTTGAGTCCAGCCATTAATGCACTTCAAGACAGGCTGAGGGAGAACAAGATCCGGGTACGGTTGATGAATAATCTGTTGGGTTTGGAATTGGATGATGTGATGATGAATAGTGTCTGAATGCATATACTGTGAAATTGTTTTTGGTGGATGGAGCAGTTAGAAATGCTAAAGGATGAAGCCGAGGCTATGGAAGCTGAGGCCCTTAAAGGGACCAACACTATCACTAGTGGAGGTGGAAGTGGAAGTTCGTCTCACCGTTTGCTGCACGGTTCCGGCAGCAGCCGAAGCAGAAGAGGCTCCTAAACCTTGACTGACACCTCTGTCCAAACCCAACCATATGTATGTTTCTTATCTTATTATTAGCATGTAAGCCTTTTGCCTTAAGTCTGAATATATTATCAAATCAAACTTTTTCTATTTACGCCTTGTGTTTCTGTATTTCCAACATCTGCACATTTGTTTGCTTTTTGCATGCACATTTGTTTATAATAAGGGAAAATGTATATAAAATGGTGAATTTGATAAGAAACTTCAACAGCTTTTAAAGCTCTAAATCAAGTCATTGTAAGGTGCATTACTTCGTCTTCTACTTCGTGCTGAAACAGCCCCACATACCGAGTATGAGTCTAGCCCAATTTGAACTCTGAATTGGAAACAAAAAAATCCATAGAATGATAATTTCTAAGATATTACCAGTGGAAGTTAAAACCTTGTATTCACAATTTCACAGTGAAGGTGAAAATGAGTTGCTTACCTAAGGTAGAATGAATGAATGTGGGTACATTATCTTTTCCTCAGAAAATCTGGTTTTCACCAACCAGCTCGTTTCAACGAGAATGAAATCTATCTAACTTTCCACCATCATTCAGATGATAAAGACTTGATTCTCTAACTAATATGCCAAAAAAAAAATCTCAATCTACCGGGAAATGACGAGTTTTACTACCTGTTCGAATTCCATGTTAGTGCTGCAGAAACCTAGAGCTGTGCTATGATCTGCCTCCTTTTGGGTCATAGAGACTTTGGCTTAATTCTGCAACTGCGAATGATTGTCCTTACATCGCTTCTGATGGACAGGAAAGCGGAAAGAGCAGCAAGAAACATCGCCGGGTAGATAAGAACAGAATTCCTTCCATCACTTGTCCGACCAGGAGACGATTCCGACAGAACAATCTCCCGAATAAGGCCCCAGAAAATTAGAAGCGTACCAATAAAGCTTATTCTTCTGGGTTTGAACAGGCTGAGTAAAGCTCCCAGTACACATAAACAGCTCCCAGCTAAAACCTGTCAAGGAGAACATATTCCACATGAACCATCATGACATTGTTGGTGTTGATGGTTCTCAGAAACATCAAGCATATTTATGTTAATGATTCCATACTCTCAGTAAGCATTCTGTCCAAGAACCTTCTGCTTCAGACAAACATCAAACGCATGTTTCGCGGGTAAAGACAAGAAAGCAGTGGACAGCCACCAAAGAAATAAGATTCCTTCATCCATCACATAGAAATGCATAAGAGCCATGTTGACAGAAGATAACGGAGAACAAACCTCTAGATGATTGATATCTGCGGCCGAGAAGGAAGTCCTCTTGACGCTGTCAAAGCTGTAATACTTGAATAACTTGTTATAGCTCGGGAATCCCCTGCCGCTAATAATAGACTTTCCAGTAGCTCCGGGGTAGAGGAGGGTCTTGACAAAGGAGGAAGGAACCAGTTCGTTTCTGATCAACTGAGAAGAAACAACCTCTAATGGTGTTTCGCATACCCTGTTTCCGCAAGGAACTCTGCAAATATCAGCATAACATTCATTCACATTGATTTCATAGATGCTGTCCGAAACAAAATATGTACGATTTGAAGCCAAACCAACAGAAAAAGGGTTCCCTTTCTGAGGCACATTCCCAATTCTGCATTCTTGCAACATTGCGATATGGAGAGACCATAATCTAGAGGAAGAGGAATAACACCCTCACAAAAGACACGAGAGAATGGTCCTAAGCATTGATTTTATCCAGAACTCTGCTGCATAATTGATTATTAAAGGCAAAATAGGAATGAACAAAGGTTTCAGCCTCCAGATATTCATCGTAATGTTCGAAACCGAAACCCTAACTCCGCAGGCAATTTGAGAAATATCGAAGAATGAAACAAAAATTAAGGCTCCCATACTCGTATAGTTTCCCGCTCGTAGTACACTACAGAAAGATGCCCAAAACGTGGAAGCATGCAGACAGAATAGTTTGAAAGTCTTACCTGAAAAGAGGAACCTGAAAGACGACGACGACGCAGAAAACGAAGGAAGCGGCGACAGAGATCAACGAAGCCCATTTCTTCGAATTAGCCATCCGATTTCACGAGAAATTCCAACGAAAATTTCAGGGAAAAAATTTTCAAAGTTTGCTACGAGAGGGAAAAAGGGGAGAGAGGCAGAAGTGGGAAATTCGACAAAAAAGAAAAAGAAAAAAAGCATGTACCGCACGCACGTCTCAGTCAAATCCATAGACCCGAGACCCTGACCCGACCCGTTGCGATAAACAAGACGAGAGAACTATTTTAGGAGGGGAAAAAGGTTTTATTTTTAATTTCAATGTCGTATCTTTGACATCGGTTATTTAAGGCAAGAGGGTACACGTATACAAAGGACACGACTCAGGATGTTCTTAACTGGACCAGGCACAGGTGGGGCCCGGCCTTGTGGGCTAGATATGGGTTGCTCGGTCCAAGCGCCTTTTTTTCTTCTATGAACATATGCATTAGGATATTATATACACATACAACAAAGTCACATGGTTATATAGCAATCAAAGCTATGTCTCTGTCTTGGAATTATACAAGCAGACTACAAATTTAGCCTGGCGAAGTTTTCCTAAGTGCAGAGGGTGAACAAATCTAAGCACCACAGTGCTCGGTTGTGATCAACTTGTGAGCTCCTCCATCAAGCCCTGTTCACGGTTCACAGTTACGACTTCAGAATCTTAACGCCATGTGAGTATCTCTTCTACTACCATTCTTTTAAGTTTCTCAGTTAAACGACTATTTGACTTGGACAAGAAGCACGAGCTTCCGGTACAAAGTTTTGCCCCATTCTCAGAATGAACAAAGGTGCTTCCATCAGAGAACGAGAGTCACGAAATAAACTAACCCGGGCAATGTATGGTTCAGCATCCGTTCGTTTCAGGAAATGCATGGAGTGACGGGCAAAGTTTGTTGTTTTGTCGCTCAGCACGATTCCCTCGTCTATGTCATCCACAACTCTGACCTTGATATAAGGATCTTTTGGAGGCACCATATCCTTCAAGAAATAAATCAAAAGGACATTGCACCACTATTTATCCGAGAAAATGGGAAGAATCAACGACTTCGTGTTATGGTTTCAGGAAACAAAGTGGGTGACAAGACTTACGACATTCAACTCGATTCCAACTTTTCCCATGTATGATTTTAGAGCTACTGAATGGTTCTTGAAGTACTCTTTCTCTAGTGTGGCGAGCCTCTCTTGGATATCAGGGGGAAGGTCCAGAAGTTCAAGTCCTACAGTCCATGCTAGATCTCGGACAATTTCAGCACGGTTGTACCTGCATAATGACTCAATTTACATCAATTTTAATATGCATTGTCCTCCGAAAACAACCCGCTATGATTCTGTGTTATCTATAGAATAAGAAATAATACTTACGCATAAGCCATGAGGCAGCGCTTGTTACGGGTCAACGAGAGGTGATGAATTAACGCCCCGTAATGGTCTGCATTCCTATTACTCTGCACATCCAAACCTTCTTGTTGCATTTTCCTGTAAGAAAACAGGTGGATGTCTACTTCATCCGATGGGTAGGCAACGCACCATGGTACATTATACAAAAAAGAAAAAAGAAAAAGTACCTTATTAAGGATTGGAGGACGTGGTGATTTTGGTTGCATTCTTCAACTGTCTCGTCAAAGAGCTTGCTCTGCCACAGCATATAGCATATATCTCGAAGTTCACAAGAGATATTAACTCTCGATCATATGAATTTGAGAGAGAAAGATGAATTTGAGGGAAAATCAAATGAAAATGTGTTTTGCTAAGCATATCCTTAATTCCAATGACCAAAATATTTATCTGGGTTTTCTTATCTGAGGATTCCTCTAAATTCTATTCTGATATCTATAGTAAACATTCCATGTCTTGGGTTTCAAGTTCAAGCTTCTACAAGATGTGTTTGCTGTCTGTATTCAATACATAAATGCCTCTCCCCCAAGTAGAAGCTCGGTGCAAATTTCTCAACTTTATGACCATAATACTTAATGCAATCGGTTCCGAATATAACAATAATTGATCTTTATCAACGCTAGGCTAGCTGTCAAACCCTGCACTGGCAACATCATCGGAAAGAACATCCTCATTGCCTCAAATCAAGATCCGAACCTTGGGGCCAAATACGGAGCTCCTATATAGTCTTTATTCGAGGCTAAATATAGGGTTCGGAGCAACAAATTCACGGACTTACATTGAAAGGCTTGATCTGCCCCTTCTCACTACTTGCGAAGTCTTTCACCAGCTGATACCCTTTTCTTCCGTACATTTTGAGTTGGTAGTTCTGTTCTTGACCCTCTTACTGGCTTTGCTTTTTTTTTCCCTCTTAATCCTCCCTAAGATATACCGGACATTTTACATCTCGTGAGAGAGGGGGACCAGACATCTATTAGACATTTCATCGAACATGTGGCATGCGAAATATACAAACCATGCAAATTACAACATATAACCCAGAATTCCGAGTGGTTTCCGAAATTGATATCGATTTAGTTAAACGAGGTCTATAAAATTAACCAACTCCATTTAGAAGGATGAGAGAGAGAGAGAGAGTCACGGGGTACCCGCAGGTGAAGACGATGAGGAAGAAGCTCAAACACGGCGGCGCGATGTGAGCTCTCGTGGGGGAGGGAGAGAGAGAGGTCCCGGAACCCTAGGTTTGCCGTCGAGGGAATGAAACATTCAAATCTTCTGAAGGGGGTTTTTGGCGGGCGATCTGAAGGATTTAGCGCGAGTGTTATCCAACGCGGCAATGCACCCACGTTTTATATCATTCCAGACGGATGGGATTAAATTTGGTTATTCTTTCTTGCCTCCAGAGTTGGGGCAACCCAAAACCATATGGGTTTTATGATTTTTAATCCAATCCAACAAAAATAAACTAAATGGGTTATCAACCCAATTAATCGATTAAAATATAATTAATTAATGAATTAATTTATTAATAATAGATATTAATGGTATTTTACAAAATATTCAATTAAATTTTAAAATGATTGTTCATGTGATATTTATTTTGAAATTTCGATAAATAAAACAAATCTATGATAAAAGAAAAAGCCGATTGACACAAATACACACATCATTTTTGTATGTTATCATTTGTTTTTATCATAATACGTGGTAATTTTATCCAATTATGGTAGTCATGTATTTTTTTATTAATTATTAATTTATTAGGCAAAAGAAAATGCATGGTAATCATTCAAATTCTCTTCAATAATTATAAAACATGCTGTCTGCTTACCAAAAAAAAAATTGATTGTGTTCCTTGGAGTGCGTTTCTGAATTCGACGTACGAAAAAGAAATATCAATTGCTTCGAATAAAAGTGTAATTAATTCGTGTAATTGTATCATAATAAGAACGAATGAATTAAGAGAAGTCCCATGAGTTAAGGGTGCAACTAAGCAAACCACGATGGTGTGGTAGGATAAAACACGTGTGAATCATCATGTGTCTAATTTATATGTTCATGCAATCTATTGTTCTTTGCATTATACGTGTATATATACGTGTATATATATATATATATATGTATGTGACATGTGTGGGTATCGTAATTGTTTTGGGTGATGGGGATTTTGGGTAAGGAAATGATTTGTGTGCCTAAAGATAAGGATGAGAAATGGGACGATAGTGAAGGTGAAGGTGACACGAGCTAACAATTAACAAAATTAAAATTATATTATTGTCCCAAAATTCTTCGTGTTATAATGTTGGTTCACCAAATCATGATGGAACCCTAAACAATTTAACGTCACTTTAAATAATTGTAATAATAACAGAAGAACATTCGAGATGGACTTTTTTTTTTTTGAATCCATCAGATACTCCGTCATGGTGAGGTGGCATGTTTTCCAACTCAAAACAAATTAGAAAAATAGGACCGAAAATATATGTCAAAACATGGCTTACACTTGTAATATATTGTTTATCTACCCAAAAATATATTGTTAGATTCAATTTCAGTGGTGGAAAAAGATATAAAATAGTCTATACATAAAGTTGGTTTAAGGTATAGATTGGATATAGTCGGATTGAAGGTTCGGAGAATATTTGGTTATAAAAAAAATTATATATATGTGTATGTGGTGATTATATTGTGACTAGATTGATACCTACCGGCCTTTGTCTTCTTTTAGCGTCATCATGATCCATCGTGGCAATAACCGATAACCCTAAGCTCTTAAATTTTTATTGATTTCGAAACAATTATCGATCAAGATCGCGAAGATATATGGATTTTTTATATTTTTGTATCCCATTCTAAAAATAAAAACAACCGATTCCAAATAAATATATAAGTAATGTTTATTTACTCGAGTAGTAAGACAATACATTATGGTCGATTCGAATCAAGAACGGTGATACGAAAGAAAGAGCATTGAAATTATATATATATATATATATATATATAAAGGGGACTTGAAGGCATGGCCTTGGATATGTGTGGTCGCTCATACGCGGATTCGATAAGGCCATGCCAAATATTTTGCCCATATTAAGAAAGTGGTATACTCGAGTTGTTGCTGTCCACATGGCTTCAATAGAATGGTCCAACCACGAGTATCGCCAACGTATTTTAATATTTTATCTAACATTTTTAATTTATTTTTGTATGGACCCATTTATCAAAATTAATTATTGCCATATGGTCAATTATCGTGTAACTTCTTCTTCTCTTTAATTATAAATAAACGACAATACAGTTAGTTGGACTGCTCCGATAACAACATTTTCAACGATAAATATAAATGTTAACGTTCATAAGATATGGAGTTTATAGTCTCAATGGAAAAAAAAAAAACAGGAAATATAACATCCATAAGATACTATCTGAATTTAAAGTTTAACAACAAGAAAATGCAAATAACTTTATGCGAAATACTTTTCATTTTAGAAAAAAAAAAGCATCGATTGTTTGACCAAGTTCCTTGTCATGAGTAATCTAAGACCAAAATGATTACGCATATCTTTATATCATAATCACGTAATATTCAGTTACCAGATACAAGTAGAAAAACGATGGAAATATTTCAATATTTATAATGTCTTGTAAAGTCAACAATGGAGTTCGTTTCCAATCCTACACATCTACCGCTATTTATTTCATACAACACCCTTTCCCCTACGCTTGTTGTTTTTTAAAATGAGTACCGAAAAAGTTCTCAAAATTTTATTCAAACTATACGATAAAGCTTTTTTTTTTTTACAAAAAAAGATAAATTATATGGATTTATACATTTTTCCGTTATCTTAAATTCCTCAATGTCTTAATATGTGCCTCCTATAATTTCCTCTGTCAAACAATATTTCAGATTAAAAAAATCCATCTCAAATCTCAAGTTTTTTCATCTGAATAAAAAACTCGTAACTGGATTTGGGCCGGCCGACCTCATCGAGCCATTTAGGAACCCCCAGTATAATGTATATGTGTGTGCGTATGTATGTATGTATGTATATAGAAAAAAAGGACGGAGATCTCAAACACAATGATTAATCACTTATAACCATAACCACTTTGTAGCTCATCCAAAAAACGACGGATTCGATTTCTCAAGAGAGAGAGACGGAGGAGGAACAGCCACCGTCATCCATGGCGGGTCTACAGAGATCCACCATCTCCTTCCGCCGTCAGGGCTCTTCCGGCATAGTCTGGGACGATCGATTCCTCTCCGGCGAGCTGAACCAACCCGCCAGCGACCAGAAAGATGAAAGTCAACGGGACGAACAGGCGAAGCCCATGTCGGAAGGCCAGGAACAGGGGAAACCAATCACCGACGATGCAAAAGACGGAATCAAGCCGATCAGGACCGTCGGATCGGCCGGGACCATCGAGAGGAGCCGATCCAACGGCGGAGGTGCCGTCCGAGCTCATCGAAGCGCCGGAAGAGTTTCTCCGGCGCTGGACCCACCATCTCCGAGGTTGTCGGCTTGTGGGTGTTGCTCCGTGTTGGGAAAAAAGCCGCCGGGGAAGAAGAGTAATCCGAGGAAAAGGCCGGCGAAGCGCAGATCGATGTAGGAGGAGACACAAAAGGAAAAAAGAATATACTGCTTGTGAAACTTTTTTTCTCTTTTATTTGTGTGATTGCTTTGATATATAATCCCGTTGTCGATGAACTCAGACGATGTTTATATCCGTTTGATTTCGATTTTTGCTGTCAATCTTAAATTCGCAGACTTGGGATTTGCTGTTGCTTTCTGGGTGATTGTAAATGAAGCGTCTTTTCTCTCTTCTGTTTGTTTCCCGAGAAAATCCTAATTTGGGGATCCACTACTATCCCCCTCCCTCCCTCTCTCGATGACTGATGTGAGTGCATGGTTTTCTGCCGTTGTTCATGAAAATTCTGTCTTTCCTGTTTGGTTCCCGAGAAATTTGCGTCTCGGTGATTCTCCGATTTGAACTGAAGCTCTTTGGTACGGACCGAATCTTTCCAGATCCGTCAGAGATTCAAACTCGGCGGCGGCGGCGGCTGGACCAAAGGCCACGACTTGCAGATATAGCAATCTGCATGAATCGGGTAATGGACGGTTGTGATATATTTAACCTTTTATGTTATTTTTGTTTTATGTTGGGTTATTATATATGTATATGAATGGAATTAAGATAAAATCAATCCCTCAGGGCGAGGGTGGTGGCCATAAGCCGCCGCAATTCACGGCTTCCCCGTCGTGTCCTGTCCAGGTTAAGCACCGCATCACATTTCTCTTTTGCAATCATTAATATTTTTTTCGTTTTTAAAAAAATTGAATTCCAGAGATACTATAAACATATAGTTACATAACCATGCGAATATGTATTTTTTTTTAAAGTTGGGTTTGAAGACGAGTACATTTAAGTTCTGTGTCTCCACCGGCCAAAACACAAGACATTAAGTTTTTTTTTTTTAAAATAACGGAGGACGGTAGCTTTTATATTTCGCACGCGCTGAATAAACCTATGATGCGGAACTAGCTTTTGTATATATAATTAATTGACCATTAGACTTCCTTTGGTCCCTTGGTGGGTCACAAGACATTAAGTTAGATTTGAATGCAGAGAAGCATAGAACCAGAACCAGATGTTGATGCAAAGACCGAGATGTCTGAATCTGCGTGCAAATGCAGTATATGATTGCATCATTCACGTAACCATTGATGTGAATGGGATTTGATAGGGGGTCGCGCTACGAGGTTGTTTCTCGAAAGAAATCATTAGCTAATTTTGATCGAAGTGGTGATTCATATGTTTACCTGAATAACAGACATTATTCTATCTCTGAAATTAGCATTATTTCCCTTCTCTGGATAACAATACCCATTTTTCATCATCATTGTAATCCGGAAGACACTGCATAAGGTGCTCCGAATCTCGATTTTGGTCTATAAAACTTCGCATTTCACTTTAAAAAGCTGCAAACTTCAGTTTCGGCTCTCTAAATCCAATTTAATAATTAATTCGCACCTAGATCTGTCTTTCTGTTCTTCGCCACCTTCTCTCTCCCTTGTCTCCCGGGAAATCTGGTGTTTAATTCGCTGTCTGGTGCTAAAGAACACGGGAGATCATGAGACGATGTTCATGTCGGGGCACGAAATACGTCTGTCTTTTCGTCGCCCACTTACTATCAGTACTCATATTTTCTGAAGCTGTGACAGCAGAGGCATTCGAGTCGCTACTCGAGCTCCCGCGATCCGGGTCGCGCCCCACCCGATCCAAATGCCGACGGGTCCTTCTCGTCAGCGACTTTGGTGCCAAAGGCGACGGCTACAACGACGACACTGGTGTAACGAATCGTGAAACTCTCACAAACTTTCCTTTTTTTAAGTTTTAGAATTTCCCAGGCATGAAAGTTTTGAATTTTTTTACAAGTATAGGAAGAAAGTTATGATTTTTGGTAATTGGATGCAATATCTGTGAATTTGGAACAGTACCCATCTCTCAGAACCTGAATTATTCCTTATCGGTCATTACACTAGAGTTATTATCGAACAGTCAGTCTGTGTAGTGCGAGAAAAATTCAGGGTATTTGACGTTGCATCTGGAAACTCTGTTCAGGGTTCAGGAGATTGCCGGAAACTTACAGAAAGCATAAACAAAATCGGAAAATCCGACAGTATCTGCCTGATAAAGCTCATAACATTTTGGTTGTTTGATTGATAATGTGAACCCATCGAAATGCAGGCGTTTGTGGATGCTTGGAAGAGAGCATGTTCGTCCACAGTGAAAACAAGGATTTTGGTGCCGGAGAATTACACCTGTCTCGTCCGTCCCGTTGATTTTTCCGGCCCTTGTAAAGCAAAGCTCACTCTGCAGGTAAACCATTACAGAGATCCAAGAATTGGTTTTGAGTTTTAAGTCTTTGACTTTGTCCTTCCTTAGAGTTGTACGGTGATAGATCTTGTAGAATTTAAAGTTTCTCGAGATGAATCAGGAAAGGGAAGGGTCTATGTTTACAAGTGGTTTTCGAAAGAATGCAAAGTGATAAGCTTGCTTGTAATCTGAAATCTAAAGGCCCTTAGGAGCTTGCTGTGTCTAACATGGCAATGTAGACTCTTTCTAACACTGGAAGCATGCGACAACTAGTCTGTTCTAGGACATGCTGATTTGATTTCTTGGTGTCAGTTCGAGGGTTGGTGGCTTGATCTTGATCCAACAAGTTTTCTTCAGAGGATGAGGATCGGAAACTATTTTCCTCTCATTTCATAACTGCAGGTCTCTGGTACAATCATTGCTCCCAAAGATCCTAGTGCATGGGAGGGCCTAAACCCTCGGAAATGGCTTTACTTCCGCGGTGTGAACCACTTGACGGTTGAAGGTGGAGGTGCTGTGAATGGAATGGGGCAGGAATGGTGGAGAAGATCTTGCAAAGTCAATGAGTCGAAGGTAAATTTATATCCCTTTTCACCCATTTGATATATTTGAAGGTCACAAAGTTTGTAGATTCTCACATCTTCTGTCACAAATCTTTCTTCTTTTGCAGCCTTGTCGAGGTGCTCCAACGGTAAGGTCGAAATACCTCATCTCTCTCTCTCTCTCTCTCTCTTCCTTCTTTATACGAATGGAATGATATTGTGATTGCAGGCCTTAACCTTCCACAAGTGTAAGGATCTGAGAGTTAGAGACCTGAAAGTGGAGGATAGCCAGCAAATGCATATGGCATTCACGAGCTGCTATCGGGTGACACTGTCCGATCTCAAGGTCATAGCTCCGGGTTCTAGCCCCAACACTGACGGGATTCATGTAAGCGGTTCTCGAGGCGTCGTGGTAAAGAACGCGCTGGTCAGAACAGGTCAGTTGGGCCAAATGAAACTGTTCTAATGGTCCTATCACAATATGTGCTTATGCTTGCTGGATGTTGTTTCTCTGTCTAGGAGATGACTGTGTCTCGATAGTGAACAATTCATCAAAGATCTCCATCAGCAACATCGTATGCGGTCCTGGCCACGGCATAAGGTAACCAAAGCCAAACACAAGCGTGACTGACTGCTCCTATACACACACACAGTCACACACACAAACTGAAACTAGATATGTTCCTGTAGCATCGGAAGCTTAGGAAAATCGGAATCTTGGGTTCAAGTGGAAGATGTTATAGTCGATACGGCATATCTTTCCGACACTGAAAACGGAGTTCGGATCAAAACATGGCAGGTGAAGTGATCGATCTCACTTGAGTTTTCACTCCTGCTTTTCGTTGTTTCTTCATTTGTTTTGCTTGCTTTGTTGATCAGGGAGGACATGGGTCGGTCTCCAGGATCACATTCCAGAATATTTTTATGAAAAATGTGTCCAACCCAATTATCATTGATCAATATTACTGTGATTCCAAGAAGCCATGTGTGAATCAGGTATGGCATTCTGAAAATTATATTCAGCGCAAAGATTTCATAGTATCAGATTTTCACGGTCTGAAGATGTTGGTGAAAAACTACAGACATCAGCAGTTAACGTGGAGAACATATCATTCATTCACATCCGAGGCACTTCAGCGACGGAAGAGGCGGTCACGTTCTCTTGCAGCGATGATTCACCATGTCGGAAGATTGTGATGGAGGACATCATGCTCATCTCCTCCAACACAGGAGGTGACACTCGTTGCTTTGGTTGGGAGGCCTACGGTTCATGCTCAGGTCATGTGTACCCTCCTTGCCTCTCTCTCGAGTCCTGCTTCTTGCTCCAGAAAGTTCAGCCCAACACGCTACCTGTATACGTTTGAAGGGTGAATTTCAGATTTGTAAATGCATCCGCGTTCACGGAAATGCAACAAAACCCTTTGAAGTTTGAGCTCGATCCTGGTAGATTCATCATTCTATCAGATATTCAAAGTTTCTCCACAAAAAGGCGATTCAAAAGTAATGATTTTCAGCGCTGTGAGATCATTTTGTATCCTCCAAAACTGCAATCTGCATTGTGAATTGACAATGGAAAAAGGAACCTTTCCTAAAAATCCAACCCATTTATCGATCTAAAATCACTTCGCTGTCAGCTCACATGTCTACTTGATCTCACCATGCGAGACTATATTCTCCCACTTCATTGGCGAGGAAGAAAAAAGTTGCGAACTTTACACAACCAAGTAAAGCCATCAAGTTTTAAAATATTTGGAAGCTCAGCCTCAAGGGGAGTGCCGATCTGAGGAGCGGCGAGCCCAACTCCATGAGCCAATCTCATAACCTTCACCATATCGTCGATTATAATCTGAATTCGCTCCGACCCGGGTCGACCTCTCGGGCACGTTCGTGCAGAACCGAGTCCCCAGCTTTCACAATTTCCCGGCAAGCTAGTCTTTTTCTCTTATCACAACCAACAAGATTGTGCCTTCAGAGAGGAGGAAGAAGACGATTTACAGGGTTTACGGATCGCGTGGCGTAAGGATTCGGGTCTGAAAACGGGTAATCGGGTCAAGTGAGGAATCCCGGCAGCGATAGACACCGGAAGGAGACGGAGGGAGAATCCGGGAAGCGTTTCCAACCATGACCGTTGCTCTCTGGCCGAAATTTCCATTTGACGATACACAACTCAATTTCAATGGACACGGCCTTTGGGCCTCTAATGGTCCTTTGGCGAGCCTTGTTGACCCATTATCTCTCCCAACCCAACACATTCACTTGCTCATGAATAATCTATTTTTAGCTATAACATGTCCCTTTTTTTTAATTTGTTTAAATCCATATTTCTTTAACGCACTAGAAAACCTGAATATATATATATATATATACACACCAACGGAAAACTATATATGTGTATATGTATGTATAATGAGATTTACCTCGAAGGAGATGTGACTGTCCATGGGGCTAATCTTCGTCTTCCTCGGCATTTTCTCTGGCTCCGGATATCTCTGAAGATGGATTCCCATTTCGTACCCGAACACAGAAACACTAGAAAATGGGTCTCGAGTGAATGCAAATCCATTGTTTTCATAATTACCATCCACCCTCGAAATTAAAAGATCCAGGCCTCCGGACCGGGATGAACCCTAACACATTCTGGTAAAATCTCATTGATTCCTCAATGGACCGGCAAAGCATGGTGATGTGGTTCACTGACTTTAGTTGAAGAGGGTTTTCCATGGTTTCCTCCGCTTTCCCGATAAAATTTCTCCGGATTTTTCCTAGAAAAGTTTTGACGATACGATATACAAAGCGCTCTATATACCAAAACGCCCTTGAGACCGAAGGCCTCGGGCGGTACTGTATCAAGAGAATAATCGAATATAAACACAAAATGAGATTATGAGAGCTTAGGGAGAACGGATTATACGTATGTACACATACATACACACGTACACGTGGATATGCGTGTATCTGTGAAGGAGAGTAATGTGGATGCCCACGAAATATACACACAAGAGATATATGTAGAGACAGAGATTAAATATATTAAATTTCACTTTATATTTGTTAGTTGATGTTTCATAATTTCTCCTTTTGCTTCATGTACCGTAACATACGACGTATGGGTCATGTTTCATGTGCAATTTCATAGAACCTTCCATTTCGTTTTCATAAACATGTTTTAGCAATTTGCCTCATCCATGGGCAGCGATCATTGAAAATACAACGACAAATAACTGCATTTGCTAATGGGCTTTGACTCGATCGATGGGTGATGAGAGCAAAATCACAGACACATGAAAAGAAATCCCAGAGGCAATGGCAATGCTTGTTTGTTTATTCCGACAACTCGTACTTCTCCTTCTCCTTCGGAGGAAACAAAGGTACATCAACAATTGAATCAAAAAATCATTTTTTTTTTGAAAAAAAAAAAAAAACAAGTAGCTCGCTTTCAGATAACACTGCCGCTTTGAATCAGAGTATTATCACAAGCCCTCTCTCGGAAATCTTTGGTCTCTGCTCTTTTGCCAGTGCGTAGTGGCAGTATAAGCCTCTGGCCACTGAGATAAGCTACGCCGCCTCGGCCAACAACAGAATAATTCTTTAGGCCGAACTGAACATTGGAGAGCGAAATCAAGATTCTTACGGGTGGATTCCAGCTTGCGATCAGGACATAGCGTACCCCCCCTTGTGCTCTGCTGCTGAAATCAACAGCGCACAAATGACGTTGAAAATGAACCATATCTCATTCCTGTGCAAGATTTAGATGGAAACATTAAGATCCAAACGATGTTTTCGGATAACAGAGACCGAAGAGATCAAGGGCTTACTCAATGTGTATATCCATTTCATGGCAAGCTTTATCTGGAAGAACAGATAGCTGGATGCGCCTTCAGCTGGAGGGCTACAAAATCAACCTCCGTAGAAAGAATCCTTCAAGCCGCTGTATCTGTGTAACCAAAAAACAAGTCCTCCTTTTCTTTTCAATTTTACTGATCAATCCTTTGTCAGAACCAACTGCAGGGAAAACAACTGCTTCGAGCTAAATGGAGGCACCCGTTTGCAAACCAATGCCATGATTAGCTTGGCCTTGTCGCGTCGGCCAGTATTCACAAGCCCCTCTAGCAATGTACGGACAGTGTCCATGTTTGGGTACCACTTCTTCCCCATGCAATCCTTACACATTGTATAAGCCAAATCAAATACCCCTCCCTTACAAAGATAGTGTATCATGGTCTGATAGATCTTCAAATTGGGTCTGTACCCTTTGCCATGCATGGCTGAATATACCCTTTTGGCCATTTCAGGGTACCCTGCAAGACAAAACCCCTTGATAACCAAATTATATGTTATCTCGTCAGGTACTATCTGGAGTTTTGGCATTAGCAGCAACAAATCATTTGCTTCCCATGCTCGTCTCCTATTCACTAAAAACTGAATCCTAACGTTAAAACTGGTGAGATTAGGCGTACAGCCTTTGAGGATCATAAGGTTCCACAGCCCATTCCCAACCATATACTTATTGTGCTTGTAAAAAGCTGACATAAGGGTTGTATAGGTAACCACATCTGGTATCAAACCTGATTTCTCCATATCTACCATAATCAGGTATGCCTTGTCAAGAACTCCCATCTCACAGAAAGCTTTGACGACGATATTAAAAGAGAAGGAATCAAGTTCAACCCCATACTTAAACGGAACATCGCGAAGAAACTCCTGGATGATGAACAGATCAGGGTTCAAAGTCAAAACCTTAAGCGTCGCATTGAAGGACTTGACAGTCCTCTTGCACCCATACAAATGCATATTAAAGAAAGTGTCAAGGGCATGCTTTGTCATTCCAGCCTTTCCATACAACATTATAATCCTAACAATGAAACCCTCACGCCTACCTTGCGGAAGAGACTTCTGATGCTCAAGTAGATCTTCGATATAACCAAACCGACGTGCCCCAGCTAATCTAGAAACTGTATCCTCAAAAGCAAACCGATTCTCAACAACCAAACGGTTCGTGGCATTAGCTTTGAAGAGCTGATATAGCTTCTCTGGATCTCGCTCAGATTTGAGCTTGACAAGTGCAGGCTCCTCACAACGCTTCGAAACTTGAATCCGATTCAATTCCGTACTAGAAGCAATGCCAGTGGCAGAACAGCAGAATCTGCGAATGGATCGCAGAGAAAGCATGATCCAGGGCCTGCCTCGATTCTAAACATGCCCGTATGGTGAAACCGAGACTACACAGATTGATTTCCCGAAATCTCCACTACCCATCAACCACACCAAACTTCAGCGAAATGTAGGACATTCAAAATCAAGCATCCTCTGCGAATTAGTCTCGAACCATAACAGGCATGATTAGTCAGTCAATACCATCAAAACCAGCTTCTAACAGGAATTTCAGAAACGGATCCCGCGTATCCCCACGACAGTGAACAAGCAAACAAACTCTCGATTTCCATGAACTTCAAAGGTTCATCGGCCAAACTAATCAAAACCCAGCACGAATCAACAGAACCGGATCAAAATACCCAGCAAGACTGAACAAATATATATACACAGCCAATCTTCACCTCGTCCGCTATTGGTCCTAACGGCCGAGCAGCGAAGGAAAGGACTTAGATTTCCAATCTGAAAAGCCTGAAGAACCCAGAGGATGATGGGATTCGAAGGAGGAGATCCCACGACCCCGGAACTGTTGAGGAAGGCTCGGAGGTTTAAGGTTTTATGGTTTTAGGTTTTCGGAGAATGGGTGATGTTTTTCCGTAGAGTTTAGGGTCTAATCTGTCTGCCATACCTTAATGGGCTGAACCGAACTGGGGATCCATAAAGCTGAGAAAAGGAAGGCCTTTACCCAATGTTATTGTTTATTAAAAAATGACCCCGTAATTTTCGGCGTTTTCTGTTTTGAGTCCCTATTTTCTTGTAGGGTCAATTACATGCATTCCAAGAAGGTTCGGTAAGGGTTTCTGATTAATAGAGATTTATCTTTTCACAGAAAACAAAGGAGGGAAAGTTGTGTTCTTTGCGGCTAATGGAGGATGTTTCGATTTATCCACGTTGGATTCTATTCCTAGCCAGTTAGTGATGTCAATATGGGTTGCCCAACCCATTTGGGCCCAACCCATTTGGGTTTTAAAAATTATAGGTTTGGGTTAGGTCAACCCAATAATAATTGTTATATGGGTTGGGTTAGAAAAAAAATAGTTTGTGTGTAACCTTTGAGTCACCGTGTAGATGAAAAAACTATATTAAGGAAACATCGCGAATTCAATGAGTTTGGATTTAAAAAGACACATTCTAGATTTGAAGATTCATCCTATCGATTTGAAAAGTTACATTGTCAATGTGATTTTATTGGTACGTAAAGGTACGATACCAAGGGGTATCCAAATACTGCATGAGTCATGGGCGTGAGCGACAGAGACAGCGGCGGTAGAAGTGGGTGGGAGCTTATGTGATTGTTATAGATTCGGACACAAGTACACACGTGTCTGTGTACTGTTTGCTGTTTTCAGACGGACCGCAATCGTCACCAGCAGCCATTTATCAACCATTCAATACCAACCGCCTACAATTGCTAGCAAACATTCTGAAAACGTTACCACTCGCACCCGCTAACGCAACCGCAACCATACAATCAGTCGGACCCTATACAGAACCCTTGAAAACTCACCATCTGCAGAAGTATCTTCAAGACTCAGACACATAGTATATACTCTTACATATACACACACAAACACAAACAGGGTTAGAAAAAACGCGGTGGCCTGATTTGTGCTCATTTCTCTAATCTTTCTTACGTATGTTTCACGATCTTGGACCCTGTTTTAACCTAATTGTTCTGTGTTTCCCGCACCGATCACATCCCAATGCTGTGTTTTTTGTTCAGCTTCTTCGCATGAACGAAACGAGGTTTTAGGATTCAAGATATCGCCAAACAACCGCAATAGTCGTTCTCCAACTGAACTGGAAATAAACTGATTTTACAATCAACCCGATTAGAGATAAGCAGAAGAATCTCTGATGCGACAAGCCAAACTGGCCAAATTAAAACTCGGTCGGAGGCTTCAATCTTATGAGTCGTTTGATTCTGTCTTTGTCCGTGTTCTCCAGAAGTCCCTGTCGCAAAACAAGTCGCAAAAACTTGGGCACAAAAGGAGCAAGTATACACAAGGTTTTTGTCATACCTTCCATACGATCTCATCAAGGCACAAGCATATTCTTCCGTATTTATCCAGAAACAGACGCTCTGTTGGCGGTTTTCCACATACGTCTTTAACCGCAGCAGTGATGACAAAGACCACTTCCGCCACTTGTATCAAACCCGCAAGTCCATAAAATTAGGGGAAACGATTCAACCTTGGTCAGAACACACAAGACAAGAACGATGCATATATAAACTTACAAGCAAGTTCATCATACTCGTCTTTGCCTACTAGAAAGACGCTTACATCCCCCAGTACTGTGTACACGATATACACCGATCTGCAGTAGTAATTTCACAAACGAAACAACCATTACTGGTCAAAGTTAAGATTGTGAGTTCCAAAGGCATGAAGTACATAAGCTGTTATGTTTCTTCTGTATTTTGCTCAGCAGTCGGCTTTGACCAAGAAAATTTGTAATGTGGAAATTCAGAAACGCAACTGAGAACGCTGCAGGAATTAACAAAAGACCAAACCAGGGTTTAGCATAACATAACGTACTTGTGGCAAGCAACGAGGAGCTCCTCGTTTTTCACACCTTTTAGATTGTCAGCTCCCAACTTAACCAAGAAAGATCGCCAGTGCAGCCGCTCCTCAGCTGGTACACCATTGAACCTACAAAATGTCTCCATCCATTGTAAGATAATTCCTCACTTACAGTAAATCCTAAAACTCGACAAGAATACGTCTCACTGATCAGAAATCTTAAACAACATTTACTTTTGTACTTGCTGAAAGATTTATATTACTACAAACAATCCCAGATATGGATCTATATCTAAATCCCTATCCAAACGTATTCAAATACTGAGACTATCAACAGACACAGGGACTGCAGCATTCAAACTTTGCTCTCTGACACGTTTGGCACGTTCCAAACTGACAATGAAACAGCCCAAGAAGGCTGCCATTAACGTTTGACATATGGTTCGGACAAGAACAATACGGTTGTGTCACAACACACAAAACCTGTTGTGATCATGTTATAACAGACCCTATCATAATCATGGATAAAGCACGACCTTTCATTAGCTGTCATGTGTATTCTGAATATTTTATCTCGAGAACCTACACGAATTGACGAGCCCAAGATCCACAATAAAGTTGACAACCTTGCCTTCATCGGGATGACACAGCAGAATCAATTTCAGCGAAATCAGATCGATTAACGAGCGTCTAGAACCACATCAAAATCAATAAACCTAAATAACGCAGGAAAGCTGCTCGCTTTCTGGGAAATCCGAAGAAACCCAAACCCCTCAGAATCTCAGCCACAGAAAACCAAACTAATAGCGATCAGTTCAAATCAACGAACCCAGAAACCAACAATGAAGGCGAATTCGAGAGAGAGAAGGGGTAAATGAAAGAGGGGAAAAGGCTGTGGGTTGAAGGCATACCTTTCGATCAAGATGTTCCCTTGGGAATTGGCGAACAACACAGCTAATATCATGATTGTTTTTCTGGGATTTTGCTTCCTCTGATGGGAAGGTCTTCCTGGGCTTTTTGTTTCTCTTCGGCGTCGATGAGAACAACTCGAGCTTTAACCGGTCATTGTTTGGTTTGGATTTACCGGCTCAACCGATCGCAATTCCCAATTCTCTAATCAATTTCTGGTTAATGTATTGGAGTGAAAAAAATAAAAGAAAACCCCTCAAGTGTTTTAAATCCTTATTATTATTATTATATTTTTTTTATTCATTTGTACGGGTAACTAAATAAATAGTGACATTCATTGCTCGGACTCCACACATATGAGAGGTTGCTGTCATTTCGTAGACTCAAGAGACACAACTCTTCAATGTTGTTCGTTCGAATATGGTACCTTCACATGCTCTCCTCTTCCGCTTCATCTCATCAACGGAATATTCGTGAAATATTTATATAAACAACAAGCCACCACGTTTTCACCAAAACAGAAAAAAAAAATGTATTTCTAGTAATAATTAATTTCATCTTTTAGAAAACATAAATCGTCATGCATACAACTCCATGCATGTACTTTTGGTTTCGTGCGTAAACTTTTTTTTTATAACGGAAGATCCTGCTACCCTTCGGACGCGCTGACTAGGTAAACCTCCGGTTCGGAAACAGCCTTTGTATATGGATCGTATAAACCCAGAAATTACCTCCTTTCCCACCAGTTAGGAATCAAACATTCAACCTTAAGGTGGAGTTACCTCCTACCTCAAACTTGATTACTCGCCCACGATCTGTTGGATTTTCGTGCGTAAACTTAGAGAAGCCGATTTACAAATTCATGACTTCCATAAAGAATTGTCATTTCTTCTTTCATGCAATTTTTATATCGCCTATAGTGATTTTCCATAGTTACCCATCTTAGTGTTGAATCTGGTATTACGAACATAAATATATTTAAACTCCAAAATCCACCAAGATTCGATCTATATAAACACACACGCACACACACATCTATTTTGGTAACGGAGGCCATGGACCACGAACAATCAACTTGAAAACTACCAAATGAAAGGGATATATATGCAACGCAAGACGACCCCTAGTCAATACACCCTTCTATATATGCATAGTATTAGTGCATGCACATGTATATGATATGATCAAAATAACAAGCTCTTTTTCTATCTATCTAATTTGTTGAAAGAAGTCTCGAACGGTCCATTTGTTGGGCCATCCGTTGTTTTCGAATTAGATGATAAGCACATATCATATGTAGCTCAAACCCACAAATGAACAACTACAATCCAAAACTAAACCAACCGTAATCGGCTATATATGCACACTCCACACACAAATCTCATAGAGATATATAAAACTCAGATCGTCGCTTTCGGCATTAACTTCTGTCAAGTACAACTTTTTAAACACAAGCGACAAGGAGAGTACCTACTTGGAATATTATTTAAGAGCATGTTTTCAGCATATCGTAGTTATGCAGTCACAACCGTTGATATATATATATATATACACTTCATCGTTAAACCACCATTAGACGTTTTTATATACATGCGCGTGCGCGTTATGGTTGACTTCCTTCATTTGGTTATTTTCTCAGGTCCGCGATGTTGTTCTGATGTCGTTCTCGTCCGGCCCATGGACTGAGAGACGTTGCGGTGTCCAGTGTCTGACCCAAAGAGTTGTAGGATAGGGTTTCCATCGTAACAAAAAAAAAAGCTCAAAGGGGAACGCGAAGCACACCTTGTTATGATTGGTGTGCATTATTGAGCTCTCCGAAATTGGCAAGACAATGCATTGCATGCGTAATCGTGGTTGTTGTTATATGAATATATACATATATATATATATATGTATGTATTTGCTCTCTCAATGTAAGTAAATTGATGTGTTTACATATATCAACACAAAATTAAGCTCACAATACGTCAAAATTAAGAGAAAATAAAATCGTGGAACAAAGTTTGTGGATGACATTGAATATCTAACTCTCATGATAGAGCTAGTTATTGTGGAACGGTTAGAAAACTGATGTGAAGCGTTGGTATATTTTGCAAACTCACCAACTATTCTATGTAAATTTAATTTTGCCACTCTATTCATACATACATACATACATACATACATACATACATACATACATACATACATACATACATACATACATACATACATATATATATATATATATATTGGTCATCCAAATTTGACGTACCCGTGTCCGTCGTTGTCGTGAACGGTCCTCTCAGCTCCCCTCTTTTCGCTTTTCTTAGTTTTGGGTTTGTGTTATATATGAACATAGCTTTTTTTTTTTGTTTAGAAAAACATGTGTATATGTGTAATCTTAGTCTAACTAGTTAATGTGCGTTATTCATAAAATATGATACATTTGATGAATATACTATATATATAGAAGATTTTTGTGGTCACTAATACAACATTACATGTCGAGTAGCTTTCATATGTATGTATGGAACGAACATAACTAACAAACACATAAACGTTCGTATATAAATATTGTTACTTAAGGTATAACTAATGGATATACTTATTGGGATATATATCATCGAGACATGGCAAGCTGATGATATAATGGATTAGTTTCCATTGAGGAGCTCCTCTATCATCTGCAAAGCAACCTTCTCCTCCTCATCCAACCCACCGGCCTCCATTGCAGCCGCCTCCGAAGCTCCGGCCTCCTGCGAGGCGGCGGAAACGTTGGCTCTGGGGCCGAGTTCCACCGTCATGACCCAACTGGAGTCGGACTTTGGGCCAGCATGTTTCTGCCACACCCCAATATTAGAATTCTCGTTGTCGAGCCTAAGGCAAGTGAGTGAAGGTGATGGAGATTTGCAGCATTTCTTGAGTTTGGCACTCAGGATGGAAGAGAGGGAAGGTTTAGACGACGATGATGATGACGAAATGTCGATTTTGCCATCGAAGGAGTTGTTGTCGTTGTGTGGGACGGGGAAGTTGGTCTTGGCGTTGCGGCCGCTCATGAGCACAGCGGCCTCGTCATAAGCCCTGGCGGCCTCCTCGGCAGTCTCGAACGTTCCCAGCCACACCCTCCTTTTCCTATATATGGTAATACTATATAAGATACGTACATGGGGATTGTAATCTTGTAACATGCTTTTTCTATGTTTGAATATGATGATGATTGATTACTTGTGAATAGGTGCGCAATGCAAAGTACATGTAGGAGCATACATGGTGTGTATATATATATATATATATGTTTGAGAAAGAGAGAGGGAGGGATAGGTACAGAAGTGGATGACGAATCTCAGCGACCCAAGAACCCCAATGGCGTTGCCTGACACCTCTGAACTTCTTCGTCTGTACCATTTCTCTTTCCCGCTAAAATCAAATTTTAAATTCTTAAGGGTGAAACGTTGGGATGCATATCAGGGCATTCCAAGAAATCCGTGGCCACGATAAGAACACATGTCCATGTCACAGCTTTTGTCGTGTAGATCATGTGATCAACTGTCGACGAGAGAGAGAGAGAGAGAGAGAGAGAGAGAGAGAGAGAGAGAGAGAGAGAGGATGAGCCTTGTAACATGCCTCTTTGTATATATATTTTTATATATACTCGAACTACACACACACACACACATATATGATATATATATATGTATATATATCATATATTAGAAAATCCATTTATATGTGGGCGCGTTATTGTACTGATCCTATATATATGGGGTCTCTTTGTTTTGTGTTATAGTTCCTAATAACAGCTCCCTAGATTAATCTCATAAGTTTATCTCATGCGTCTTCCTGTACTTATGTTGGATTTTATTTGTACACTCATCATGCCACTATACGTAGTTTATTGCAAATTTATCTTCAAACCATGATATATATAGAGACCATTAACAAAAAATATGTTACCCATTCAAAATGTATAACGACTGTTTCCATAGGATTGACACTGGAGATTTAGATATACTACAAGCTTAGTGGATTAAAAGTATGTAAGCGGTTCATTTACTCCCTAATTATCCCTCTCCCCATTCACCTTCTATTCGATTCGATTAATATATAATTTTCACATATTCTATGGTTCCTGTCTTGATGTTTTGTGAACCGATGTACATGAAATCATTCTCATATATGTTGAAATCAAAGCAAATCCGATACAAGTATTGGTCCCCTTTATATGGCATGAGTTGGTCCAGCACTTGAGGTTTGTTATATTATATGGTTAAACATCGTTATATATTATATGGATCTCAACCCTACAAGATTTGTCTTTTGTGGGTGGAAAACCGATTAAGTCGTTAGAGAAGATTAGGTAAAATACTACAAGAAATAAGCGTAGGAAAAAGTGGTTGCCCATTGCATATATATTTGCCGCCGACTTTGTAGGGGAGAGAAGAAAATATATAAATTAGAACAATAATATATTCAACGTATCAAATTATATCCATGATGTTAAAAACTTGATTCGTTACTGTTTTTACATTAGTACATATATTGGCGACACACTAACGATCGTTCTGTCCTAGAACCGTACGTTTGTTGGATAAAATAAATCATTGCACAATAATTACATATGGGACAGTAATGGTTTAAGAATACTATCATAGAGATTAATAATATGATTAATACAAAGGGAGAGAGTAAATCAATTATGATATGACGATTAATGGACCCCGTTCGATGATCGTCTCATCATTAATTCGTGTAAAAAGTTCGATTGTTTGGGACATGCACGCATGCATGTGATTCGGTTAATCATTATAATATTTCTGCTATATATTATTTTTCTTTCTGCTATGTACCCTACCCACCTCTTTATGATAGACTATATATATATATATACACACATTTTGTACACAAAAATATCACCATATTGTGTTGTATATTGTTAGTGCGTTACTCCCATTAAATGCGATCCAAGAGTGGACCAACACAAACATTGTATATATCGTCGCAGGCCTGTCCTAACTTAACTTAATGGGCCACAATGGGCCTATCATGGGCTTCTATAGAGTTGTCCATTTTTATCCATCAAACTGTGTATATATATAAGAGGTTCTAGAAGAGCGGCGTGGATTGGGGAATAGAAGAGTGGGGATAATGGCATATTCGCCGCAGGAACCAATGCCTGCCTTCACGTTCCGGACCTCAACCCCACTTTCCATTTCGGTTTTTATTTTTCGGATATTGCGTAAGCGGGAAACAAACGTCCCCGTCTCCACCTCAATGCCTTTCCACCACGCGCCTCGGCGAACGCGTGACGGCCCAACGTACTGCAGCGAGTATATCTTACGCGCGTGAGATATGTCCCTCCCGTAAACCACATGATCGTACGGCCCAGCGCGCACGGGTCGTCTCAAAAGCTCGGTGCATTGGACACGTTTCGTGCTGTTATTGGTTGGTCGCTGAATGGATAATGTGTCCTATGTAAATCTATCAATCACTCTTGTGGATTAAATGCCGTTTTTTCTTGTATATATAAAAGAATCTGAAATGCGGAATAAAATAAATAGAAAATTAGAACACAACACACACGCAGACATATCCATTGGCGTCTCAACGGTTCTTGGCAACTCTTATTACCAGAAAGGGAAGAAGAGGAAATATATCTCCAGAGATAGGGTTTTGCTGGCAGATAGTTTCTGGGTTTCGTTCTCTCTCCTGTTTTTGTTTTCCCCCTGAAATTTGTTGTTCATTAGAGAGAGAGAGAGATGGAGAACAAAGAGGAAGCTGTGGCTGTTGAACTCCCAGCTCCTGCTTCGTGGAAGAAAATGGTATCTTTCGCAATTCTCTGCTATTGTTTTGTCCTGTTCGATGATAACTTTATTAACAAGTTTGATTTCACTCCTCTACTTGTCGTCGTATAAGTATTCGGTGTTGTCTGTTTGCTTTCTGTTTCTAGGTTTTATTTCGTTTTGGAGAATTCTGTCATAATATCTGTTCTCTGTGCGGTTTGGGGATTTGTTTTAGTGGTAACCGTTCAAAGTTGGAGTTTTGATGGCGAAATTTCCCTATTTCGTTTGAATTTTGGAGTCTAGAGCTTTCTTGATGGCAAAATTAGGGTTTTTGGTAAATGTGTGAAATTGACTCTGTCTAATCCCTGAATCTTTGTTGTGGTTGAAAATATTGTGGGTAGCTTCTGCATCTGCTTCTGCCTGCACCCTATAGCTCTGGAATTCGGTTGAAAGAATGCTCATTACAGTCGAAGGGAGCTCGAATTGCTCTGATGGTTTTCTTCCTTAAGATTGATGATTAAAGCGCTTTATGTGGGTTCCTATATTCGTTTTGAAGGGATTGTAAGAAATCATTCCTTAGGCAGAATGAAACTTTACAAGTTGTTGGGTTAACGCAGTCTTTTGTCCTTAGTTTGTTATGTCTCTGTTTGATGTCACTGTCCAGTGGCAGAAGAAGAAGGTTTACTGCCTGCTATTGATTTCTTGGTGGAACGATTTCAAACAATTACTTTCTGCGAGGCGGTGAATCAGAGTCTATTTGACTGTACAAGATGACAATATCTTGGGGGGTTTAAATAGTCTGTTTTTATTTTCTTGTCGGCCTGTTGAAATTACCTGTGGCATCCGACTTATAAGGCTCATGAATCCTGTATGTCTCTGGAATCCTAGACTATTTATGTTCATGAATCCTAGGCTTGTGAATAGATAGTGAGTTTGAAGTGTATCCATTTGTGTTCTCGTTGTTCTATCACTTGTTGTTCCTTTCATTTGATAAAGGTTATAAATGCTCTGCTTCCAGTTTTACCCGAAGGATGCAGGTACGCCCAGAAAGAGTGAGATTGTGTACATTGCCCCCACGGGCGAAGAGATCGGCACGCGTAAGCAGTTGGAGCAGTACCTGAAGGCACACCCGGGCAATCCTGCAATCTCAGAGTTTGACTGGACCACTGGTGAGACCCCGAGGAGATCAGCAAGGATCAGTGAGAAAGCAAAGGCAGCAACTACTCCCACACCAGAGAAGGAGCCACTGAAGAAGAAGCGAAGATCTTCTCTCACAAAGAAGGAGAACAAAATGGACGAAAAAGCTGTGGCTGAGAAAGCCAACGGTGGTGGTGAGATGGATGCACTACCAGAAAATGCTGAGGCTGAGAAGGTCAACAAAGAGGGTGAAAAGGAGGATGCACAAGCAGAAAAGGCTGAAGCTGGGGAGGAGAACAAAGTGGCAGCTGCAACAGACAAGAAAGCGGGTGAAACGGATGCAATGGAGACAGAAAATGTTGAGACTGAGAATGATAAGGGTGAGCTCGGGGAGAACAAGACCAGGAATGGAGGAATAACTGAAGAACCTACCAAAGACGAAGGTCCCAAGGACACTGAAATGAATGAAAAGCCGGAAGATGCCACCGACGATCATGATGAGAAAGAGAAACCCAAAGAAAACGCAGGAAGCGTGGCAGAAGAAGCGAATGGAGAACGGGCGGAACCAAACCTTCCAGCTGAAGCAGAGGCTAAAGGAAATGAAACCCGGGAAGCAGAGGAGAAGCAAGGCAACGGTGTGGATGGAGAGGGGTCAAACGTGAGCCTAAAAGTGAATCAAGAGGTGCAACAGCCGCCGGCTTCAGTCAGCTGTTAAAATGAAGTGTTGTGTCTGGCAGAAGGAGAGTGTGTTTACTCGCTGTCTAAATATGAGTCGTAGCATTTAACATTATGGGTGTCTGATGTTAGGGATTGACTCTGTATTATGATGTAGGATCTTAATTTTCCGAGACTATGCGAATGGTGCGTGTGTGTTTTTTTTTCTTTCTTTGACATCATCGTTGACGCGTTTTGCTTTTCATCGCGTGTATATGCATATGCCAAAGAAGATACTTTGGCCCACATAATCTCGTGGTGGTTTGTTCATACCATTAAGCGACATGTTTTGGACTCGACAATTAGTATGTAATAATTTCGGCTACATATTATCTTTTTTTAATGGTCAGTCACTTCGATACTCTCGGATTTGAGGTAAAACAAGACAATGTTTCTATTTTTTTGTAATTGAAAACAAAAATTTGTTTGCCATCTGTAAATTTGTTTTGGGCACGTGATTCTCGTATGGATTAACCGGAGTAAAATATCGCATATAGAAGACGTTGTTCATGACCAAGCTCATTTACATCACATATATTACTAATTAACACTATGTCTTACTATATACGTTAAAACAAAAATATAACATTTTGTAGCTGCAGAAAGATTTGGCTATGGATGACCATATAAGATCTTATAGATAATAACGTTACATCGAAATAGGGATATCAAAACGAGCCGAGCTCGTGAGCCGGCTCGAAGTTGGCTCCTTTTTTACCGAGCCGAACCAATTAAGAATATCTGAACCCAAATAAAAATGGGCTGAGTGAGACAGCTCGCCACGAGCCGAGCCCAAACGAACTAGCTCGGCTAGCTCGCGAGCTGGCTCGGGAGCTGGAGTTAAAAAAACTTTTATGTAGAAACTTGAAAGTGTTGATATTGTTGGTATGATATTTTGATCTGAAGATGGTTTTTTGTACATGGATTAAGATCTAATTGTATATGGATGGATTAGGATCTGAAAATGGTTTTTTTGTACATGGATGGATTATGATTTTATCTATTTGAAAATGATTTTTTGTATATGTATTGTGATTGTGAATATAAGTATGATTTGGATATATTGGTATGTTCTTTTTATGTTGATATATCATTTGGAAATGATTTTATATAATTAGATATGATTTTTTTAGATATTTAGAAAAATATGAGCCGGTTCGGGAGCCGGCTCGCGAGCTAAGTGACTTGGGCCGAGCCAGAAATTTTCTAGCCCAAATAAAAATGGGCTTAACGAGCTGGGCTGAAAATGAACTGGTTCGAAACGAGTTGGTCCGAGCTGGTCCGAGCCGGCTCGTTTGACATCCTTACATCGAATCGATGTGAGGAGAGATAAATGGTATCCGTATAAATTAACCATGGAAAAGTGACCAAACAAACACTTTTGCTTCTCAACACTTTTGAAATTTTTGTTGGCATAGATTCTTGAACCTAACTCGACAGGATAACCATATCATTCATAATTTCGTTATCTACGCCATATTTTTTTTTTATAATCGAGAGATTCACTAATCTCCTTCAATCCGGAATCAGAACTTATATCTTTTTTTTGTAAAGTTTGTGTTTAGGGTGCGTTTGTGTGATTTTTTCTAAGTTATAAGATGAAATTATTGCAGATTTATAACATTTCAAAATAGTAGGCAGATTTATAGAAAATGTATCCGTTGGGGGGAGGGGTCATATGGACGACTTATCCTACTAATCCAATTACTAATATTGGATTAGGCAAACTTAATGCGAATCAAATTCAAGCACAGGGAAACACCCGTCGACTTTATCCATTTCGTGTTGACAAGAACTTTGACGATATTATTTACACTCCACTCGATTGTGTTGAAAAGAAAAATCATTAATACTCTGCGGCGGGGTGCACCTGTTCTTCGCCAACCTCCACGAACTCTTCACCGTTGATCTGGTCAAGCACCAAAACCAGTCCCATCGCAAACGCTCCATCGAACCCTGCCTTCACGCTGAGGGAGAACACGTCTTTGCCAAGCAACACGTTCGTGGACGCGTCAACTTTCCGGCGGATCTCCGCCACCGTCCGCCGCGTCAGTGTCTCAACCACCGCGCAGCTTCGCTGGCAGAAATCGCCTTCGATCTGGTACATCCCGCACCTGTCGCTACCGTACACCTCAACCGTCGCCCCGCACCTCCCTATCACCGACGATCTCCGAACGCTGAAGATCGGTTTCTGACCGTTCGATCTCTCCCCCATATACCCTTCCCATCTCCGCCGCAGACTCGGTCTCTGTTTCACCGTTCAGAAAACAAAAGAGTTATTCCGAATCTCATACACTAGGATATATGAAAACAGAATCAACCCTCTACCCGTGACTCTAAATCCATCTCCCAGAAAACCCTTTTCGACAAAATTCGATTTTCTATAAACATATCCATATGTATAGGAAGATAATAGTTTGTATACCTTTTTTCTGAGGGTGAGGAGACATCGGCCGCGAGAGTCCATGAGGACAACCTCGTCGTTTTCGCGTGAGTCGGGACCGCCGTAGGAGTCGACGCGGAACACCAACGAGCCCTTGCGGTCGTACGCCGTGAATCCATCTCCGGCGAAGAAGAGAGACGTCTTCCGAACAGTCAAGTTCTTCTCTTGTTCGTATACGTACCCATCGTCCACAACCAACCCTCCCTTCATACTTCAGATTCTGGACAGTTGTTGTTATTTTCTGTTTAATGCTGTTATCGTTTACTTGCAGATGGAAAATAGGGAAGACGTTGAGGGGAGGATTTATAGGGGGGGGAAGAGAATCAATGGAGATTTAAACAATGTCAGAATGACACGTGGCTCTTGAACTGTACTGCACCAAAAGGTATGGAGGGATGTACTTACTGTTCACTTCGACTGTACCCCCAGATTTGTTGTCAGAGAATCTAACTCGGCATAGCCAATCACAAATTTCTACCATATTACGTCATTTCAAATAATGGTAAAAACAAATTATTCTTCTATCTATAGTTTTTTAATACCCATTCCAATTTATCCCGAAACTCTAACACTAAATTATTTTTTTTTTTAAAAGCTGAAACAAATCAACCGTTCTATAACAATGTTGATTAAAAAAAAATTGCTACACATATATATTGCAAAAAAGAAGACCAAAAGGGCACTTTTGTTGTACCTTCTATTTGTTTTTAGAAAGGACATAATAATGGTGGCAAAAAGGCTCAAAGGGAATCTTATACAGAAAGAATATGACAGGAAAAGGCTGCAATAACTGATTCAAACTGTTACTAGTTAGAACAATCGTTTAACACGCTCCGAATATTTATAACATAGGGCAACTGATTGTTGAAAAGAATAAAGTTACTGTGATACATCTTAACCTGCCCATAAAGTGCTACATAAATCACCCATCATTTGATATTAGTTTATTTATGCGGTAATTTACCATGTGTAACAACATTTTGGAATATCATACCGGATCCACTTGTGACCGGTACAGCCAATAAAAAAAAAGGTGTAAAATTTGAAACTAAAAACCGTGGAAAATGCTTTTGTTTCGAAGGCCATAAAAACGATACAAGTGGGTTTTGTTATATAAAAGTATGTATGGTGGTTCAAATTATAAAATAATTACGTGGTCCATACGAATATATATATATATACATATATATATATATATTATATTATATTCCGCGACCAGTTTTGGTGATAAGTCTTGAAAAAAATGCAGAATCTTGCCCCTATATCTCGATTTAAGTATTCTTCTCATGCAATTGAAAGAATCAAACTCTTAAAATCACAGTTGAAGTAACAAAATATTATATGAGAAACCTTAATTATTTATAACTTAAACCTTCAATTATTTTAATTTTTAGCTTCATAAATTCAATGTTTAATTCGCTAGAATCTTGACCACTTTTTTTTTTGGTATATATGTTATTATATTAATATGGAAGGAGGGAATATATATATATACACGTGTTATTTCCGAGAAGAATTTCGTTAGGACACCACATTTGATGTACAGCTTCTTCCTCGTGTAAAAGCATGTATATCATATGCATATAACTATATATATATATATATATTGTTTACATAATCAGGGATGGATATGGGATGGTGCATCTATGGACGCTTCCAAATCCCAACTCTTTTTAGATATATCATGTAATGAGATCAGTATGATTTCCTTAACTTACAATTCAGATGTTAATATTATCATTTAATTCTGTTACATATGGTCCTAATTATTTAGTTTCATACAACTCGAGTATATGAAGGTGCATATTCAATATTATAGCTTGGTCGTCTATAATATTAAACATACGATGTCGGTTTGCTCGTGTTAATATCATATTCGTTGATGCCGAATTACTAATTACGGCTAATATAGACATACATACACACATATATATATCTCATTCTTTATAGGTATATAGATAGTGTATTAGGAGTAAACCAATGACAAAAACAACAACAAAACACCAGAAACCAAAAATACTCGAAACAAATAAAAAGAAAAACCATGGGAAGAGAGCATACAACGCAACACGCGAACATGAAAACATGAAAAAGATCAGGAGTAGGAGGAAGGCCTAAGCTCAATACCATGAAGGAGGAGGCCTTGCTTCTCAAAAGGGTTCTTGGTCTCCCTAAGGCTCATCTCTGCTTCGCCCATATCTCCTCTTCTCTTCACCAACTGCCCCAACTCCACCTCGAACCAACCGTCCCTCCTTGGCTCAGCCACTCGGCTTCCCTCTCTGTTTGGAACTCTCATCAGACACACCATTGACGGCTGCGTCTCACTCTCTGTCCCCGCCATTGCCACCTTTGCTTCCATTGCCTGCCTAAATCCATATGTGGTTGGCCCGAACTTGAACACTAGGTAAGCCGCATACGCAGTGTTGTCTGATAGAAGGTTTAAGTTCATCCTCCCCGATATCTCAAGCCACCACACGGTGATCAGCTCAGCTACTTCGTTGAACCTATTCCCAGATGGACAATGGTTCCATCCAGGGAACAAAAGCATACTGTAAATATATCTCTCAACCCCGAGGAAAACATAACAGGACATCGACTGATGCTGTGTGTGTGAAACAGATGTGTTTTGGGTTATCGAGGACCATGCTCAGACTCGTGGATTGGAGTCCCTAGACAGGGAAGTATCCATTTCAACCAATAAACCAACACCAAGAAATCAATATACATTGCTATATTATGGCAGAGGACAATCAGTGAGAGAAAGACCTGGCACCAGGAAGAGAGATCCACTGCCAGTATCTGGGATCATGTCCCCAAACAATACTCAGAGCTCTCGGTGACATCATGTAACACTTCTTGCCACTCGATTTCTCCAGCCAAAAGCTCTGTTTAGACACATACAACAACAAAAACAAATTCATGCATCGATCCAAAGGATTGAATTGAGGGCAACCCACCTACTCAGACTAATCAAAGATCAAAACTTTAGACATCTTTGTATCAAAACCTGTGCTGGGTTTTTGGCATTTCCCACACTATTATCACCGCGTTGACTAACAAATATCAATCATTTACCACAGATTCACTCCACAACAAAAAGTTTATCGAAATCTTCAAGTTCCAATCCACAGGAAATGAGATTCTAAACGACCAAAAATAATTAATAAAATTCAGAGAAATCGGATCCTGGAATTATCTGAAACCATAGATCGACTCCTACGCATAAATGGCAGATCCTAACAAGAAATACTGTCGGAGGAACCTGAATTTGAACCATCCAAGCCTTTCTTATCACAGAAACAAGACAAAAAAAAAAGAGAGAAGAAATCGGAATACCATTCGACCGTTGTCGATGAGCAGAGGATGATCGGAGAGACCGAAGAAGAGCTCCTTCCTTGTCGGGTATGTCGGAACTCCGACGGGAAGTTCGGACGGCAAGAAGTTGTTCCAGACATCGTCGGAGTCGGCGGCGGATCTGAAGATCTTCGACACCGCAGAAGATCTGCAAACGTCACGAGGCGAAGTAAAAGACAGAATCTTTGCGATGCAATCTTCGGGCAACAGATTCATGCCCATTTCGTTGAATTCGCTCCTGAGTTTAGTTTCTTAGGTGTCTGATCATTGGGATTCTCTGTTCTTGATTTGAAGGAATGCTCGGCGTGTACACCTTGATAATCAACGGTGCTAAGGAAAGTATCATTGCATTTATTTCTTGATTTAAAAAAACGTATATTATTATTTACCAAAAGGAAAAGTCGGTAGACGTGGAAACCGTGGGATCTCTTTTTGTACCCTTTCTTAGTCAACCGACTCAGAAGACAGAAGGGCTACTAAACCCACATATTTTGTATAATGGTAATGGATTTTTCGTATGAGAATTATAAATTATTGAGAAATTTTCAAAAAATCTCTAAATTTCTTAATTTTTACAAAATAAAATTAAATTTTTTTTTATCAAATAAAACCTCAATTTTATTTTTCAATAAAAAATAAACTTGAATCTTATAATCTTTCATCATTTTTAAATCTATTGATGATGACGGTCCGATATTTTACATGGCAAATCAACATTTTGATCATATTGACACGGAACATCACATCAGTAATAGGTTTTAAAATGATAAATATTATAAAATTTGAATTTATTTTTGACTTAAAAATGAAGATGAGATTTTATTTAAAAAAAACAAAGTTTAGGTTTTATTTTATAAAAATTGAAAAGTTTAGATTTTTTTGTGTGATTTTTTCTAAGTTATAAGATGAAATTATTGCAGATTTATAACATTTCAAAATAGTAGGCAGATTTATAGAAAATGTATCCGTTGGGGGGAGGGGTCATATGGACGACTTATGATAGGCATCACATACATATATGTTTGAATACAATTTCTCGATTCACATGGGCATAACCATATGGTATGGATTGGGTGTTGTGTTATGAACATTTTGGTTATAAATTGACTAGTGAAAACGTTTCCGTCATCTGAAAACACCATGGTATTCATAGTAAGGCTAACGATTCGGCGAGTTACATCATGGAATCACCACTGATGATATAGTTTGTGACAAAGTCTCTAAACAGTGAAAGCAAAGCACGGTGAGAAGCTTCTGTAATCAATTCTGCATCGGGTATTGATTGACTTAAAAATGAAGATGAGATTTTATTTAAAAAAAACAAAGTTTAGGTTTTATTTTATAAAAATTGAAAAGTTTAGATTTTTTTGTGTGATTTTTTCTAAGTTATAAGATGAAATTATTGCAGATTTATAACATTTCAAAATAGTAGGCAGATTTATAGAAAATGTATCCGTTGGGGGGAGGGGTCATATGGACGACTTATGATAGGCATCACATACATATATGTTTGAATACAATTTCTCGATTCACATGGGCATAACCATATGGTATGGATTGGGTGTTGTGTTATGAACATTTTGGTTATAAATTGACTAGTGAAAACGTTTCCGTCATCTGAAAACACCATGGTATTCATAGTAAGGCTAACGATTCGGCGAGTTACATCATGGAATCACCACTGATGATATAGTTTGTGACAAAGTCTCTAAACAGTGAAAGCAAAGCACGGTGAGAAGCTTCTGTAATCAATTCTGCATCGGGTATTAATTCCCAAAAGCCAGTAGTCTCTGCTGCTCCAGCTGCCAGAAAGATATGGAAGGAATGTTTTTACAAATTAAAGACAAGACACGCCTAATTAAATTAAAGGGTCGGTCCAAATAGAATCGGGAGTACCTGGAAGAGCTCATGCATCTTGTTCTTGAGGTAATTGTACTCGTGCTCTGCCAGCTCCAACCCTTTCAAGCACCTAATCAACAAAAGATCCCTCATGCATCATCAATAATGCATGGATATGGTTACATTATGCGCATGCATGCATCTTACGTATAGCATCCTTTTGATCAATGCGTATATATATATGTACCCGGGGCGGTTGTTCATTTCTGAAGCGGTGCGAAATGCGACGCAAACGTTGCGAACTCTTCTAGCACCAATGCTCGAGCTGCTTCCCACGAACTGATTCAGATGCAGCCTTATTTGCTTGTAGTCCGAGAATTCTCTATCCATCCTTCACCCCCCCCCACAAGAACAAGAATGTTAGTCATGATCATCGCCGCGTATTTTGTATATAAACATGAGGTAGAGCTAGCTAGTTATATAACTCACAACAGGGATTTAAGGTTCCTGAGCAGCTTGTCGGATTCGTCGAAGTAGATATTAATGACGTCGTAGACGAAATTTGGAGACGTGTCGTCTTGAAGTTGCTGCAGCTGCAAGAACTGCTCGTCCAACACTCCCTGGTGGAAGAGGGAGGCGAGGAGGCAGTTGATGTCGGCGTGAAGCCGCTCCACTCCTAAACCCAGCATCCACAGCGGTAGACCCGTCTTGTCCTTCTTTGTCTTTTCCTCCCCTGTTTATGTCTTCCTCTTCTTCCTCTTCTTCTATGGAGATAGATACGTTGGCCAGGACAAGGTCCGCGTTCTCTTATATATATATATATATATCCAACAGGTGGACCCTACTCTCATTGTTTCCTTTCCCTTGAGAACTATATATATATATATATATATATATATGTGTGTGTGTGTGTTGTTTGTTTAGGAAGTCGGGTGTAATTAAAGATTTGCATATATATAGGATAATTTCGAAATCAAAATACATAACAACGAATTTAATATGTCATTAACACCTTGGCGGCATCATGTAAACTACACAAAAAAAAACGATATCTATACATATTTATTCTCTTTTTTTTTGGTAAACATATTTATACATGTAATCCTATGTTCTCCAAATTTTATATAGGGTTACATATTTATTTTTGGTAAAAAAATAAACATATTTATTCGGTTTGCTCTCCAAATTTTATTTAGTAATTGTGGGCAACATTAAAATGGTGACTTTATTTTCTGTAATCCTATGTTCAGATACATACAGATACAACGGCACCAATCATGATTTATTTTTTTTATATATCAGAAAATCACATTACAACTTTCACGGTTCATATGAAGATTTATATTCTTTCTTGATTTTCTTTTCTCTCTATTAAGGAAAATGCATAGTTTTCATATCATAATTAAGGAATTTTTTATTTTTTTTGCTGCTGCAACAAATACACCTTTTTTAAAATTGGAAAAAAGGGGGAAGCTTTTGTCCAAGTAAATTTATAAGAAAATCGACACGCGTGTGGACGGAGAGTGGTGGGAAAGGAGTAAAATCGAGAAGGCAAGTGGCCTGGTCCGATTACAAGCGGTGACCGCGCGTGACCCTGCAAGCGCGGCGTTGAAGTCCCACTCTCCCCGACAACCGCCTGCAGCCGGTCACCCTGTCAGTCACTCCAGCTTCCTCCGTCCGCAGCCTCTACGTGAAAGCCCTCAACGTCGAAATACTCTCATCGTAATCTAAATCAATTCCCTCGCACACTTAATTTCCTAATCTCCCAAATTAACTATTGGTATAATTTTCAAATATGATTATTATTATTTTGATAAATATTATTATTATTATTCCGATGCTATATATGATATTCTAAGTGCCGCATGCATAAGAATAATCGAACGAGCATTAGGAGGAGAGAAGAAAACGACACACACTCTGTTGCCTCCTCGAGGAACGTGAGACCTTTCCACACTGCGTTTCATGCTTCTCCATCACTTCCACATTATTCTCTTTCTCGATCATATAAAACACCACGTTCGGACAAAAATCACAGAAACATGCGCAAAACGTCTTTCCCTGAAACAAACAACAACACTTGTTTTGTATCCGTGTAACGTAGTCCTATGTACCACATCAAGGACACACCAGGAATCCATATGAGAATATTTTTTTATATTGATGAATGCAAAATACACGTTAATATATAGTAATATTCTGGTCATAATATTTAGGATAAATCATAACTATATTAATAATCATATTATTTTTTTTAATGATAATATTTTCCAATAATATGTATATCGGGTAGGGTAACTCATCCCATCATTTACAAATTGATAAACTCCAAGTCCCTTTTGGATTCACCCTCTTATGAATTCATCAACCTCCTAATTTCTAACACTTGAAAAGTATATAATTATCAGAGAGAGAAAAGTTTCACTAGAAATGGAATGATCACGGGAGAGAAAAAGCGTGCGTGAAAGTCATTATAGAGTAGAATGATAAGTAAATAATTATAAAAAATAAACGAAAGAATAAAAAATGGTTAGGATAGGGTTTAGACAAATCATAAACGGTGGTGTTGCATGAACCGAGAATTAGTCTTAGATGGACCCAATTACTTTGTGCGTAGTGAAACGGAGACATATTATATTATACATTTTTTTTTATAAAAAAAAAGACAGAGCAAGGAAGCGCATGCTTATATTAATATGCAATAATAAACATTTTTAATCATAAATAAATTATTGCAAGTTATTTGGAAATATGATTAATTTATGATTATGTGCACATAAAACAGTGCCACTTACATGACATAACTCCTATATACTAATTAAGTGCATTTGGTAATTTGTCCCCATAAGCCCTTTTATCCATTCATTATAACCTTGGAACTCCCAACTCTTAACACATCCATAAACACTTTTAATGACTAATCAAATCCCATTTTGTTTGACGAGACTTCATCTACTAATTGTACAAACACATCTAAGGATCTGGTTGGTCTCAAGTCTCAACATATTCATAGAACGCCAAAGACACTCATAAACTATGAGCAACGCCATACCGATAATTGTGAGTTTATATATTGTTTGATGAGAAAGAAGATAGACTAAGCTTGGCCGTATCCATGGTATGGGTGTCAATCGGACTGGCACCGGCACGATCCAGCCCGAGCCTGTACTCGGCTCGAAGGTTTCGAGTTCGGAGTCGGATTGGCCTGATTTTTCATACATATGTAGTTAAACCCGAAACTCAACCCTATATATTCCGGATTCGGATCGGACCGACCTCCATAAATCTATTTGTAAATTTTTTTTTCTTTTTTTTAAATATCGGGCTTTCGGACCGATTCGATTCGAATTCGATACGAAAACCCGCTTTTTTTCAGACCGAGAAACTTGGACCCGAAAACTGCTAATTTTAGGACAGGACCGGACTTAGGACCTTGAGCCCAAATTGACACTCCTGTGCCATGGTGGTCGACGGTGAAGAAGTGGAGACGGGATTTTGCATGTATATTACATATTTAGCTTACACCTATGACCTATTTAACAAATTCACGAGGGGAAGAAAGTGTAAAGGAAAATATTTACAAAAAAAAAAAAAAGAGCATCTATGGAAAATTGCTTGTTGTCGTGTGCGTGCCCTGATGGTGTGACTGATTTAGAAGGCTGGATAAAGCCTTGGAATGAGTCCAAAGCTCACACAAGGCCTCCTATGCAGTAACCACACATCTCTCTCGGCTACAAAGCAAACAACTGCTACATAGAATGCGACAACAAAGCCGCTCTCACTGCTCCGATAACGTCCGTTAGAGAAACGAGCCCTTGAAGGCGACCATCCTCGTCCACCACCCACACCCTGTGTACGCGTTTGGTTGTCACCTTTTGTATCACTTGGGCCAGTGTTGACGTCGCCTGACACGTCACTAGCTCACGAGGGGAAGCTCCCCTCGTGCCCGCGAACAACGGAGTCATCGGTATCTTCTCCGCAAACTCTACCGCCATCAAAGGAAGCCACGTCTGCAGCGTAGCTAAATGACACCCCTTCAGATCACTCGCCGAGAATGTTCCCTTCACTTTCCTGTTTTTCCCCTGCCGCAACAGTCGTCTTCAGTATTAAGCATTTCATGCCTCACTACTTAAAAGCAACGTAAATGATCATTAGAATTCCATATTACATTTACAAGCTGCTTATGATCCACTTGGTCACCCGCCGAGGCCTCAACTATTGGAACAGCATTCAGCATCTCAGCACTCATGCATTTGATTGCATCCGAAACTCTGGCCTGCAGATATATTGAAACCAATGTAATTTCTTATTAGTCGGGGGGATCTTATTTGAAATCCAGTACCTGGTCAGTGAGGGCGTAAACCGTATCCTTGAGAGCCCCAAGCTCGGACACAGGACGTGAGAGTACAAGGTCGCCGAGTTCGCATGCCTTGTCTTGCAAGAACCTCATGAGGTCCATCTGGGTTAGCATTGTGTAAGCGGAGGCCGACTCTACTAACTCCACCCCTGATATGTTCTTTACGCTACTCTCCAGTGGGACTAGGGCTCTGTGCACTCCTTTGCTGAACATTTCCATGCAGTCCAATATCCTGTCTCATCATACAATTTTTATTATTATGGTGAATGTGTGACATACATCCCCTTTGAAAATTATGACAGTACATGTAACATTCAAATGTTAAATGCGCCCCTTCATATACGTTTAGTGTTGTTAAAGACCATATATACATACCTGGTATTAGGGTTTAGGGACCATAAGCTGAGACCCTCTGGACAATGACCAATGATGGAAGAGACATGAGCTGCCATCTTCCTATCCAGATTATCCGACACCGCTCTTGCGATGTGAGCCAGAACATCAAGCATTGTCACCATTCCTATGTAGTGTTTCCGTACACTTCCAGTTTGTTTGTCCGATTCCACTATCATCGACCCTCCTGCTCCCAGCCAGTGCCCCGGCGGCGCCACCACCGGCACCGCACTCACACCGTTCGCCACCCGAAATATTCATAAAAAGACCAACGGCGTCATTTCTTTTCAAGTTCTTATTGAACGAAAAGTGATCACAGTGATTGCGGCGTGGTTAATTACCATGGTGTTCAAGGTGTCGGAAAGTGTTGAGGAGTCGCGAACTTCCACGAGACGGCGCTTGTGAGCCGTCAGATCACGGACCTTGAGGTTGATCAGACGGTGGTCGTCGGGAATCTGCTGCAGCATCTTCGTCTTGGGCTGGTCCGACATGAGACGTTGGAGACGCAGACGATAAAAACGAGGTCCGGGGGCTGAACTTGGGATCACCTTTCCCATCGTTTGACGGTTACCATTCCGCAGAAACACAACTAGTTGACACACACCTCACTTGCCAATCCACACGTGTCTTCATACGTGTCGAATTAACATGTTCGAACGACGATATATATAGAGAGAGAGAGAAACAAAAATATAAATAATAAATTGCAATTCTGTCTATGGATTCATCAAACCTCAATTTCTTGGGGAAATTGTGTTTTCTTCTTTATCAAACTCTGATTGTAATTTGAGAAGAACAACACGTAAGAGAGTGACTTCATCAGCCTTAACAAAGCCAATTTATTCATACAAAGGCAAGATGTCCACATCGGAAGTCAGAAGCAGAGTAAACACAAACAAGTCTTTTTCGTCGACAACATCAACTAGTTGTACTTAATCTTACACTAAAGCCTCTCGTATAGACCGTATTATGTCCGTAAGTGAAACGAGCCCTTGAAGAGAGCCCTGTTCGCCCACCACCCACACCCTGTGGACGTGTCTGGTCACCACTTTCTCGATGGCCTCGGACAATGGCTCGTCAGCCCGGCACGTAACCAGCTCTCTGGCTTGAGTTTCGGGGGTCGTGGCTGCGAACAGGGGAACCGTCGGGACTTTCTCTGTGAACTCAAGAGCGGTCAACGGCAGCCACGCTTGCAGTGCGTCCAATCGACAACCTCTCAGATCAGTCGCCGAAAACGTACCTACCAACTTCCTCTGTCTCCCCTGCCATCACACACATTGTTATAAATATGCAAATGATTTGTGTATGTAAAAAGGGTTACATTGATGAGCTGTTTATGATCGTCTTCGGGCAAATCGGGGGCCTGAACGATGGGGACAGCGATGAGAAGAGCCCTCCGCATGGACTTGATGGCGTTGAAAACGGTGGTTTTGTGGGTGATGGCATAAACGCTGTGGTTGATGGCTGCAAGGTCGGCGAGAGATCGGGACGTGAGCTGCTGAAAATGATGGTCCTTTATGAATCTCAAGACATCCATCTGGGTTAGCATTTTGTAACAAGAGGCGGACTCGACCAACTCCACTCCTGATGATGAGGCGTTGCTTTCCACCGGGACCAAGGCTCTGTGGATTCCTTTGCTTAGCACTTCCATTCCCTCTAAGATGCTGCATCCCAGTAATCGACGTCATCAATCAATCTCTATATCTCTCACTACACTACCATTCTTGATTTTTTTTCCATGGCTGACCTTGTGTTTGGGTTCAAGGTCCAGAGGTTGAGACCCTCCAGACAGTGACCGATGATCGACGACACTTGAGCCCCCATCTTCTGATCTAGCTCTCCCATCTCTGATTCCACGTCATCGTCGCCGGCGATGTGAGCCAGTATGTCCAGCATCGTCACCATCCCTATGTAATGCTTCCGCACGGCCCCAGTGTGCTTGTCGGACTCCATGATCATTGAGCCACCCGCTCCGATCCAATGGCCAGGGGGCGCTGCCACCGGG